TATATACATACATGCAGTATGCCGCAACTTATATCTACTAACTCACAGCCAGACTGGCGGCTGTTTTTATTTTGATGCACACAATATTTTACCTCACTGGAATCTCATGGTCGGGTATAAGCCGTAAAAACAACAACGTTTAAACTGTTTACTTAAAGACTTCTCAGTCTAAGCATATAGTTCTTTGTTTCCGTTTTCAGATTTATTCAGATTCATTAAATTTGACCGGCTCCGTGTGATATTTCCAGTTAGTGCTTCAGTGGAGCTTACAAATGCTTATATATGCTATAAATCGCCTTTAGGAGGTAAAAGATAAAATGCAGAAGCTACTATCCATCATTGAGTTTTGAAGACTTAAAAAATAATAAAGAGATATAAAGTGATGGGTCAGTGCAGATAAAAATTCAGTGATTGCTATTGTGTTTCTATCCTGTTAAACATAATAATTTCCCTAATACGCCTTATAAATAAGCCTCAGGCCATGCCAGATTTATACTAAAGGTCATCGCATGACCACACACACCACATGTCATGAATGCATGGCTAATATCTCTTTGTTATTCCGTAGAAATGTATTCATAGATTTCATGGGGTTAACAAAATCCTGTGAATCCTGTTGGCCTATAAGATATTTTGACAAAAATAGAACGTATATAAACAAGATGTAGGATTTGAGCTGCGTGGATCTGATCGACCTTCAGCCAAGTTCGAGTGTTTGTGCAAACATCATAGTCACGGAGCATTAAGAAGTTAAAACATGATGTGGTGTTTTATATCATTTAACCATATTCAGTTAATTATTAGTAAGCTGTCAAAACTCAAATTTCTTTGAAATTAATAATAATATTACGAAAGTCTTGAAAGAATACGGTAATCGCGCCATCAAATCATGGCTCTTGGATGGGGCGACGGTTTAAAGGTGGATACTGATAGCGCTATTAAACCCCACATTCTTCATTGATCTTATAACACAAGATAAGGCTTGATATTATTAAAGGCTTAAAATAACATTCTGTTTGCAAAAATGGCCCGCATTTCGCCGCCTTTTGCCCCACTCATGAGGGATGTCAAATCATATTTCACTGGATGACATGCCATCCGCTTTTTTCGACCTATCCGCTATCATTATCAATTAATCTTGAAAATAACCGAAGTTCAGCTACAAAAAAGTCATCGGCAAATCGATATTGGCTCACTGGGCTTACGGCTTACCTCAGCATTTGGTGTCAATCCGGAAAAAACACGAAATAAGATGGAATATAACGTCATTTTTTTTATCACTATCAGGTCACCGAAAGCGTTTTTTTAATCCAACAATAACATCGCGCTGAAACGCAAAATTCTGATGGATTGCTGAGATGCGTTATAAACAGATATGTTCATGTGGGTTAAAAAGTTTATGGTGAAACAACAGGTTTATTGCTCATTACTTTTCATCGACGCGCTAAAAAAACTTTAAAGACCAATCAGGGGCATTGCGCGATGGCCCAGTCATTCCCAACTCAGTCCCTCTCTGAGTACAATCTTAAGGCCGGCGCACACTAAAACTATGTGCTTGGCAAAAAGTCATTCGTGGCCATTGGCGTAAGCCATTTGCTCTCGTGTGCGGGCGACTTTTCCGGCGACTTTGGTCATTCGTGCCGTCACGCGCACACGAGAGCAAGTCAAGTCACCCGCACACGAGAGCAAATGGCGTACGCCAATGGCCACGAATGACTTTTTGCTAAGCACATAGCTCTAGTGTGCGCCGGCCTTTAGCAGTAAAAGTAGGTGATAAATATCGGCCTGCGATTACTGTGCACATGGGACCAGTGACAAATGTTCCGTCGTCTTGAACTGAACTGGATTCAGGCCAGTAGCTATGGACCGCTTAGTTGGAGGAGAGCGGGGGATGGCTCCTATATCGATATATTTGCGATTAGAAAATTTTGCATTTGGACATAAAATGAAGAATTTATGAATATGCACCCCCTCCCCAATAAAACATCTACATCCCACAGTGACTGGGCAGCTTGAAACGCTTTACTGGTCTTTTCGCATGATTATGTTAACCGCTACAAACCCTGAAACATAAGATCATAGGAGTAGTATGTCAATAATCAAAGCTTTATCAATAATCCGTTCTACTTGAGGATGGAAAATGGAACGTGTTGTTGCGGTTTTCTAATACGAGTTTCTGTAAGTGGTTTAAATAATCGTCAATTGTCAAGTTGCCTCCAGAATTGCGGTTTTTGCACATTCTTGCCGCGTTTTGGTACTCGTGATGGTACTTAAGCCTTCTTTTGGCTTAGTTATCCATATCCTGTAGGAGATGGCGGTACCCTTAGCATAATCCGTCTTACATGTGGCAGTTTCTTGCCTCGCGTGCATGATGGCACAAGTACCTAAGTTGACATTTTATTCAATGGTTGTTCCGCCACTTAAATCCTTGGGATGTATTCTAACATTCTTAGAGTATGTACCCTCTACCATTCAGTTTAACAGAGTTAATTAAAGTAGATACTTGGTTAGAGGAAAGAAACTGACAACACACGATTAATTAAGACCAAACCAGAAGCGTTGTGAAAATGCAACCCCAGCTCATGGTAGGGAATACAATAATTGTACCAGAAACAAACTACCTCTTCGATCTTTTAATCTATGTCTAAAAAGAAGACTCTTCGGTCGATTGTCTATGTCTAATTGTGTTGTTAAAAGTATATAAAGTTAAATTGATCCTATATTTTAGGATGAAATAAAAAGGTGGTATGTTTCATTACACTAGCTAAATTTGCTATTTAATTATGATACAAAAGTATTCACACCTTTATGGCATACGATTGCTAATTGAGTCTATATCAGTATAGCCAGTAGATGCAGTAGAGTTCTTTTGGCAATCTTCAATCGTGAATCCGTTTGTTAACACAATCATGCTGCTTGAATGGCCTCGACATGCACCAAAAACCTCAAATAGTTGTAACCCAACTAAAAACCGTGTATAGCTTGGAGTTGAAGTTCTTACAGTTTTATGATTTAGTTCACTCTAGCTTTACGCCTATGTCCGCAGAATTTGCATGCATGGTATATTTCACTGAATCACTTTCTCGGAATAGTATCGTTTTGTGTTCACAAATCACAAAGCCACCTTTGAGTAAATGTTACTAAAGATATTCAGTCTAAAAAAATTCGACTGTATACGCGTGTTTTGACTCGTTAGTATACGCAACAAACCCGTCGTATTATTATTATACATTGGAATGCTACATAATGCTACACAGATACAAGGCTATTTAAGAGATACATTTCGATCATAAACGCGTGTTCTGTCAAATATTGCGCAAAAAAACACTGCTTACTTAGCTTCTTACTTAGCTAGGCTACTTTCTTACTTAGTACTTACTTACTTAGACCTGCTATAAACAGCATCATCAATATCAATATCGGCACCTATATAATCATGGTTGAGTTATTAGATTATCGGCATAAGCTCTGGTTTAGAGTCTTCGATTCAACTATAGTAAACTCAAAGCAAAACATTCAAGGTTATGTAACGAAGGTTCAGGATCACCTACGCCGCCGTTACGGTTCAAACTTTGGGTATCGCAATGCAATGCAAGAGACAAAATGAGATTGCAACCAGAAACATGATTTAGGTTATATTGTGTGTCTTTCAATTTACAACCCTTGCAGCACTCTTGAAAATAATGTGGAGCTCAACTTAAGAAATCAACTTGAGTCAACTCAAAACAGTTATGATGAAGTTATTACTCTGTATATCAATATATTGCTCCTGCATCTTCAGTGATACTTTCTACTCTGTCTAAAGAAAAGATGAAGTTTCATTAGGAAACAATTAGGGGAAAAAACTAGCTTATAGCCTTGTATACATACAGTATAAAAAGTAAATCATCAAGTTGGATGTGTACAACAAATAAATAATTTAATTTAATTGTTACTTTATTTACCATGAGAAGAACGAAAAGTCATTATAATTTTGCACTTCCTTCGTTTTTCAATTATACTATAACACTGATCTAAGAATAGGAAGCGAGAGGCGGAAATAGGAAACACACAAGGAAATATGCGTCTTTGAAAATACGCGAAGTTTGCAAAAAATGCAACCCATGCTCAGGAATCGAACGTCAAACTCGGCCTCATTGACGTGATAGCCGAAAAATGTGCCTATGATCTGCCAAACCCGAACATAATCGTGAATTTTCCTCTACTCCCACTACTAACATTCTCAGTCAGTGAGACAGAGGCGTAGGATCAATATTTCGGTCGGATGGCTTGCATTTTTCGCAACGTTGACCAGTTTATTTGTTAACGTAAGGCTCGTAATATTTTCTCACCAGCTACAATAAAACACAACTGGGCTACTGTAAAATTTGTCAGCGGAACCTGGTAAAGGTGTCGCTATACCAAGCTACTATAGCCATGCAATATCGGTTATTTTCTTGTTTTTCTTTGCGTGTTTGCCGGACCACACCGTGGCTTTAAGAAGATTGGATTGGAGTAAACAAATCTTGTAAATAAAGGATAACCATGTAGGTCAGTCAGCTAAAACCAGTGGAATTTGTCACTTTCCTATGATTGTTTATATTGGTAAAAGCTTGTAAATATGACAAATTTTTTTAAGGTATTACACTTATAACCTACGCATGGGGTTTTTCAAAGCCTTGTATTGGTTTCCGCCTATGAAAACGACAAGAAGCTAATTCCGTTTATCACTTATAGATTATGCCTAAAGCCCTGAAATGTTGCGATAAACAAAAAAGTTCTCCCTATTATGAAACAATCAAGCTGAAGATGAAGTTTACAATTTCATAACCATATAGCTGTGATGTTTTTACACCTTACCCAAATATTGAATTGGACTGTGACCTAAGGTGTCAACTTTCGTACGTAACTACCGTTCGAAACGTTCTAGTTTATTCTTCACGATTAAATTTAGTGTTTGAATTTTTGACCTAAAACCCATCCTGTGCTACAATTTCTACACATACATATCTTCTATTTATCTTGAACCAAACAAAGATTTGGCATCGGTTTGGATCATGCTGTGATCGATTGGATTAATTATTGACACTTAATTATTTATAAGTGATTAGAGCTGCATGAAAAGCGTCGTTTCCTATTAACTTGCTCAGTTACTGTCTTGGCGCACTTGGTCTCGACACTCGAATAAAATTCTTCGTGCTCATTGCTTATTGGAAGTTGTTGATATACTACGGGTGATCGCCAGGAGTTGTATTAACAATTATGAATCGTGATTTGACTATCATAACTCTGTGAGTATACACAATATCAAAGCATTTGTGAAATGCGCGCATGTATCTCAATCTCACATCCTTCTATTGCGCGTCATATTTTGATTGTTGCGTAAAAATCTGATGTCCAAAGGCTACAAATGACCAAATAAAAAGCTTTTCCGAATTCTATGAATATTCAGAAAGACATAAAGAAAACGATATAACAAGTATTTAGATAGGATTCATTGGAGTAAAATTGAAGGGCTTCATTATGTTGTTCACGGTCATAACAATATTAAATTTCAAACTTCTATTATAAACGTGAGCCCTGAGGATGGGTAAATTGACTCAATGTTATAGACGAACCCACATTTGTAAAATTTGTATAAACAAGGGTCCTTATTCTGAAATAATGTTTGTGATGTTTACTCAAACTTTTATTTTTTTTCAGACAAATAATGGTGTTCTTTGTCTTAGCAATGTCTGGCAGTCTTTCGATGACAGGTATGGATTAATCTTATCTTGTATCGTATCGCTGTGTTTACAATTTCAAAATATTTGATGTTACTAGCTTATTTATTGGATGCATTGATTACGCTTCTTTGTCACTGTCGCGTAACCAAAAATCCAATTCGGTAAATCTCCAGACTCCAGTCATTTACTGAATTTTTTCTTGCGTGTTAGTATCGGTCGACAACAACGGCTTTACCCACTAATACTCATATAACTTAGAAAGGTCAAATATATAAGTTTAACTTTTATGACGACCATCCAAACCCCATTTATCTATATTTAGCCAATATTCAGTGATGGTTACATTATAACCATACTGTTATCCACCTCATTTAACCATTATTTGGTAAAAGCAGACTGACTGGCATCGAGCATTCTTCGATAACTTTGTGAAAATATTCCCAATGATTCAATGAGATCACAAATCACTGTTGGGAATCCTTTAAAGTATACGTCGCGACTTGTTTATAATAACTACCGCCAATTGTTTGCATATAGCATGTGTGATGAATATATCGCCGAAAACATATTGAAAAACAATTCAAATCCATTGCTAATATCCTAATTATAAAAAATTGGGTTTCTCGTTAGTGGTGTATGCTACATGAATCATGCATGCATGAACGGTGTGTTTCAATCAATTTTTACCACGTAACTTATAGATATGGACAATGGTGGTAACATTTTGAAATAAAATAGGTCATCTCACTGAAACAGGGAAATATATTCCACAGGCACAGGCTGAGGAATGACTGAGATTTTTGTGCTGAGCCTGTGATGTTTTGGTTTCATCACAAAAACGCACATATTATCTGGCTTGAATTACAACGATTATTTGGTGACGACAAGTTTCGAAGTTCGCTAATTACCGTTTTGGCATTACAGCTTTATTGCAAAAGACGACATTATCGAAATGACTTCAACAGCCACATCCTATTTTGAATGAATTTCATTCAGAAAAATACCTGGACTAATTTTTACCGGATTCTGTTTTGGCAATGAGTTGAGTGAAACATTTAAAGACAATAGGCGATAACTGACCTTTCTGATCTCACTTTATACCGATCTAATATTTTATAGTGTGCAACATTTCCGTTAGAGTATTAGAAAATCTTATGAAGTTCACTACGAAAAACATTCTTCATTGCCAAAGCTATATCTCTCATCTGTATAATAATACAACCAGAACTTGTTCATCCTAAAAATTCTATAAACCGTGAAGTATGCAAAGAATCTCAGCTAACACCTTGTTCATTTTTCAACACACTCATCAGAGTCTTATTTTTTATTCATCGCATTTATAATAAACTGCTTTTGAGCACGTTTATGAAAATAACGTCCCATAGGAAAGCATAAAACTCGCATGCCTGAATTGTTTCAGCTCCCCCCCCCCCCCTCCTCTAGCTATATAACACGAACTGTATGTGTATATAACACGTAAAAAGGCATTGACCAATTATCTACAAATAGTAAATCCTATAGTTGAGTTAGTGTTGAATTTGTCGCGGCTTCTCGTCGCCGTAGCTTCATTTATATATAGTTATTTTATAAACAGATCAAGGGGCTGTTCATATAAGCCGGGCTTGTCTTCGATCAACTGGGATGAGTGATTTGGGTAAAAAAATACATCTTTTTTATTATATAAACGGTGGGGTTTTTTGGCAGCTAACGTAAAGACGTTTTATACCTTCCAGATTTTTTTCCGCCGACATTACACTACCATAATATGATCGTATACGTTTAAAATAACAAGAAAAAGGCAATGTATAGTACTAAGGTACGGCTAGCGTTTTGTTCAGATTACTCAACCTAAAAAACAATTTTCACTGGACTGAGTTGCATGCATGTAGCAAGAAATGCTAAGAAATGGAAAAATAAGATTGTGTATTTGAAGTTTCAAAGTACAGTAGATCAAGAAAAAGTACAGTAGAATATTTCTCAATGTCTATAGGCAGGAATGTGTTGTCAAAATGTATATTGTCAGAATTAATGAGTACCTCTTATCTGAAAAATCAAACTTTGCGACCTTTCTAAATTCTAATAGCCGCTTTAAATCACTCACGATGAGAGTTTCTTACGTTGACAATATGCAATCTTTATGTGATATGAACGAAGGACCTCTGCACCTCTCGGACAATATAAACCCTCCTATAATAGAGTGCAAACTCGAAGCTTCCAGATGTTCATTTTTTTATATTCACTTCGGCACATGCATTCATGTGTCGATCTGGAATTCAATTTCTGTTATTTCTGCATCAGTCAGTCAGAGGTAGGGATAGAACGTTTGGGAGTGCTGATCTTGATGGCCCGTGCGTGAAAGATAAATGGTGGTAGTTTTTACGACTTTATGAAGCCAGACGATAAATATTTTAGGAATTTTCCAAGATCAGTGAAAGCTGTCTTGTTAATCCTGTTCTTCTATAGGCATACCAAGATTCAACCATTTATCTGTCAATACGTATATAAAGGAGACCTTATTTTTCAATCGATTCGGCGGGGTTGGAAATTTGACACACTGATCAAGTGATCTATTTTAAGTTCAAAGTAGAGTTGCCTTTGGCATTTTAAAAGATCCAACCACGCCCATATTTCACAACAATTTGAATATTTCCCTTCATAAGCTATACCACTCTAATAACCGGAGTCCGCACAGCCTCTCTCTTCTCAGACAGTATTACTGCAGGGAAAACATCGAATAGCCTTTTATTACTGGGTAATGAATAAAACTTTTTTAATGTGGCCCTAATTATGGCCTTGACAATATTACTCATTGTTAGCTTTGATCAACAAAAGACTCAACTAACCGTTGCAGTCATTGTATATTGTATCGTCTGTAACATGTGAAATGAACGACAGAAAGGTGTATATATGTGTTGCTGTAAATAATGCATGTTTACTTTTGAAATTATGAAACATATAGATGCAGGACCCCACTGAAAAACACTTCGGTGACGTGGGTATCCTGGTTAAATATGAAGTTAATAATAATAATAAAAAAAGTCACATAATCACAAAAAAAGTCACATAATCACTCCCTGTCCCTGAGTCACCTACTTACTGTATATAGGCAATGCCCATTCATGTGTAGATAGAGTGAGACGTTGGTAGTGAGGATACTATATATTTACGACGCAAGACTTTCAACAAGAACTAAATGCAGGGGAATAATGTTATTTATTATCTTGATTCTATATGTCGTCATCAAGTCTAGTTGCCAGCAAGTAGAATCGAGAAACGTAGTTTACTGTCATTATACTCTTATGTTTCGAACTTGGCCATCTGTTGTTATGTAGCACTTAAAAAAGGAATCTAACTGCATATGTGCACTTGACAATTGCTAATTAGTACATGTCAGCCAGTTGTTTCATTATTGAAATTTAAGCTTCATACAACTACCAGTCTACCAAGTATGCGTTTTGGCAGGCACAATAATTTAGCACGAAAAGCCTCGACAAGGCAATTAGGAAATCCTCAAGTTCTAATTTTAATGTCTAAATTAACTCTTCGGCAGAGCCAAAACAAACGATATTGTTTTGTCTCATAACAATCGGCACTCTCTTTTGCTTTATGTGCCCTATCTATTGTTTTCTTGTCGCTTCTACTCAAAGCTGACATTACCTTAATACCTGAATTGAATCATTGACATGTATAACTTGATTCTAAGTAAATACTAAAGTATTCAACAATCAGACATCAACCCTGCATTCATCTGTGAAAGTTCTATAGTAATAATGTGAAAGTACATAAAAATGTGGACACAAAAAGAGCCGAAGTTCGATGTTATATACAGAGTCATCATGGCAGTTTTGGACACAAAGAAAGAGGGGCACTCGTATCTACAAACATAAATTTTTTCTGGGGGGACCCTCTGCCTACGACTCTGGTTCAGGTTTATCAGTTACGTCTGCAGTGAACACGAATGGTTATATTCCAATCATTCCTGGATGCAATAGTTGGGGAGTGCGTAGGCGATCACACTTACAAACGAAATCCGTCGGGAAGAACTATAATTTGCAGGAGACTGAGTAAACAAGGCCATTTGGTAAGAGTGGAATGCAGGAAAAAGCTATTAAAAAGCCATTACCTCAACTTGTATGCAGCAAACTTGAGATAAGTAACTTAAATAGCAAATTAAAAATAGAAATCTAAAATCTCATTTCAAGGCGTTTTTTTATATCGTATGGTTTGTTTATCACGCATGCTGTCTCCATACTTAAAGCACGGTGGCAGGTGGTGATATTTTTTTCTCTAGTTTTGACCTAATATTGTAATGTGTGATTTCTAAATTTCTTTAAGACCTGCAAAGTTAGAGAGGTGCCTCAATGTTTTAAAATGTCTCATCTTATAGATGTATGTTCACTACAGAGCCATATTACATGCATGAAGAACATTACATGCAAGTGGTACTTTTTTCGCATACGTTTAATCCCGCGTTGGAATAAACGGAATGTCCCGATAAATCACAATGAATACAGTCCGCTCAAGAGTCCTTTCATCAAGACTTGAGACAACAGTTTAAGACGTCTAAGTGCTGAAAATGATCTTTAATTCAGTCTACGACAGACACTCCGACAAAGAGTCAAATTTCGTTCACGCATCACATCAGTTTAAAACCTCCTTAGAAGACCGTTGAACTCATTATTTTACATCAAGGTTATCCTCACTTTGATGGAAGTAAAAAAAGTAAAAAATTTTGATGAGATTTTTTTATCTGCCTTCATTAGACTGGCACAAGAGCCACTTGCATTGGAGCCACCCGGTCCATTGCGTTCACAGGCAAATTTTGATGATCTCAAAATAAGATCAAACAGCACGGCTGATGAAAGAGTCGAGAAAATGTTGTTTCTGTAGTCATGTGTTAATATGTTTGGCTAGTATTACTATAGCATTTACATGCATGCACGTCTCCTAGCGTTGAACTGATGTGGTATTTGATTTTCAACTCCGATATGCATTCTCGTATAATTTGAAATCGAACCACAATTAAACAGGGGCCCACTTTAACCGACTGGCTAATGAGCTTATAATGACCAATAGTGTGCTCACTTATGCGTATTAAAAGTCTGTTCACACGATTCAATCATTTTGTCGTGCCATTTTCAATTCTAATGGATGTTTTGTTGCCTGCTGACTGGAAATGTATTGACCGAATTGTCTCGTAGGAATTCAGGCCTAAAAGAGGCCATTAGCCAGTTTTCACTATTTATACCTCGGGGTTTGTGACGAAGAGAAGATAAACGAAGAGAAAACACAACGACTAACCCTTCCTATATCAATCTTTTCTTTCCCTTAAGCCCTGCACATCCAACGCAATTTCGTCTTCCAGCGCAGTAACTATATCTTTTTATTAAAATTTTTTAGCAGCGCCGCATATCTGTATATTAAAAAATACACTCGAGTATTTTCAATCACACTGTTTTACCCCGATCACTTCTGCACAATGCACGTGCGAGTTTGCAGTTGTAGTTTGCCCGCTAAAGTTCCAATTATGTTGAAATGATTATGTTGAAATGTTTAAACAAAAAACCCGAGTTTTGTACCTGGACAAATGGGATTTGTTATCTCGTAATCCTGGTTTCCGCTGTTTTATTTACCAGGAATGGCTGTATGCATGACCACACACATTCACTTAGGACAGTTAAGAGTAGTGAACTTGGTCAAGACACGCAGAAAATTCATGAATAACCTTTGAACAGGGGCCGGTTGTATCAAGCCCGTTTTGCTTAAACGGTGGATAAGTTCAAAATAGAAATTGGTATAAATAAGTCTAATAATGTACAGGTAAATTTTTTTCGGTTGTTGAAATACTGATTACAATATTGCATAATCCTTTTTAGCCACATCCACAAGCACTCCTTGCTTTCAATGCAAAACAGTATCAACTTGCATTGCGATCGTCCTTAAATGTGATGGAATAAATGACTGTGGGGATTTTTCCGATGAAAGAAACTGTTCATGTGGACCGGGGAAATTTGTGTGTAATAATGGACGATGTATAACCAGGTCATGGTTATGTGACAATGACGATGATTGTTTCGATAACTCAGATGAAATAAACTGCACATCTCTGGGTATGTGGAAGCATGTGCTCAAACTGCAATAAAAAAGCAATAATATATAGCAATAAAAAATAATAGGATATCAGTATTCAGTTTCAGGCCTGTGAACTAAAATACAACAGGATAAAAGCGAAATCTTTCTGGGTTTTCAGCAGACGTACCTACTGCAAAACACTAAATATGGTGCTGTATATAAGAAAGAAGCTATCGACAAACTATTTTATCGAGAAATTATCAACGAGATATTATCGAGTTCTCCCAAACTCCCACACGTGTCTCTATAACTATTCTTTCTATTTCTTTTATAATATAACTCATATATTCATATGTTCAGCATTATTAGTTCCCGGCTTTTGAAATTTTTAACTGCTATAACATGAATATATGATATTAGCATTGTATTGAGCTCTGCCGCACAGGACCGTACCTAAGGGAGGTGTCGCATCCCCCAACAACACTGCAACATCCCCATTTTTGTACGGCCCTGTTTAAGTATCATTATACATTTGAAATTAAAACCGTCGTATTTTTTGTTTTCTTAGAATTTTGCAAGAACAAAGGGGGTTGTGATCATTCCTGTAACTTGATAAAAAATAAGAACGGAACCCCAACTGGGAAAAAATGTAGTTGCCGAAAAGGATATTATTTACGGAGTGATAGAAAATCGTGCGTTGGTAAGTAAGAATCATCAACAACATCACAAATGCAGGGGCCGGTTGTATAAAAACGCAGTTAAAAGTTTTAACTATCGTTAGCGACAGAATTCACCAATCAGAGTTATGGATATTTCTGAGCTAACTACGATTTAACTATACGCAAAATGTAGTTAAGAGTTTTATACAACCGGTACCAGTAATTAAAGTGATTGCATTATGTGTGAAACGACTCACCTACACGTAGCTACATGTTCAGAAATAAAGCTCAGATGCAAGCCCCGAGGCGAGGAAGGATTATTGTACAATTGTCTTTTCAAATTTCATTTATTTTGAAAACCATCAATGAGATAAACGCAAAAATAGAAAGCCGATCGACCAGATTTTTATATTTATATACAAATAAGAACTGTTATTTATAATTTTATTTTGACTAACGCGGAACATCCATACTGCATGGACTTCTAAACTTCTTGCATAGCATGCATATTTCGTTTTTCGAAACTTTTCCGCCGCTACAAAAAAACGCATTCCATGCATTGTCGCATGCATATGTTTATATACGTACGTACACGCACGTATAAAGTTTTCATCAATACATTCACTCAAATAGACATCGATGAATGCACGAAAAAAGGGATTTGTGAAGGAAATTGCGTTAACACAGTGGGAAGTTACGAATGTCAATGTGGGTCTGGATTCATCAAGGGAATTGTTAAGAATACTTGCAAAGGTAAATATTATCATGATATATATGTAAACACAAAATTTGTTTGAGACTGTTTTACTTTTTGGCCATGCACTAGCTATATAAAGTCTATAACATATCTGGTGTAAAAGAAATAAATGTGTTGAAAGCCATGCATTGTGAACGGTTGCTAATAGAGGATGGCTAATAATAGTGAGATTTATGCATCATACTCATAGGGCTGTTTTTGTAACCACTGCCATAACCACTACCATAATTTACTGTCAACGTTATCAGAATATACTGTAACTTTGGTATAAGTGCGATGTATTTCTACAAAAGGATTTTTGTTAGTTAAAGTTTCGTATTCTAAACTCGTGATCAGGCATTGAACAATTGGTCTTGGATGAACACTGCGACTATACAGTTTAAACTTGAAACTTAAATAGAATTAAAAATATATCCTAATAAAATATGCGTACGGGTTCTTGTGCTATTTTGAAAAACATAAACCAACATTCGCGAGTTTATGTTATGACAATGACTTCATGTTATGTTAATCTGTAAAAATTATGAGGTCACATTTTTTTTACCCCCGAATTGCACCCGAAACCATCGGCGATAATACCGATACGTCTTTCATTTTTCTTAGATATAAATGAATGCGACACAAAGGTCGATGGCTGTGAGCATCTGTGTCACAACACATACGGAAGTTACTATTGCTCATGCAAAAAAGGATACGTTCAATCCGACATGAATCCTAAACATTGCAACGATTTTGATGAATGTGCTTTAGGCGTTGCAAATTGTCATTATTGTTTAAATGCAGCTGGAGGGTAAGTTATTTTAACCTGACATGATGTAGCCGCACCTTAAATATCTCGATTAGACATTGAACAATAAACTTTCAGGTGTAGTCAGCTTAGTTAACCAAGACTGACGAGAAAAAACAACGCTGCATGACTATACAAGAAAACTCGTTTCATAATGATATGTTAAAATCTAGGGTTTATTTATGCCGTAATTGATCAACTGCATGTTCTATTATCTCCAGGTATCATGATATGCATACAGCCTTTTTATAGAGAGAACTCTAAGTCGCCATATTTCGTGGAGATTCCGGCACAAAATTCAGTTTCCAGTTTCCGGCGCTAAAAGTCAAGCTAGACAAATTAGTTCCATGAATATAGCATAAGACTATACATAGCTTTAAATATATATGCACGCTATATCTCTATGGGTAAGAAAGGATTACTTTGTCTGAATACCTGTTTCGTTACATATAGATAATATCTGAAAACTCTTAATATAGCCCTGTATAATGCAAAATCAATTGTACGTTGTTTTACAACTTGTGTATTTTCTTCAGGTTCAAATGCAACTGTGATGCAGGTTATGTTACGACTGCCAACAAAACAGCGTGTCGCGATATTAACGAGTGCTCCAAAAATAATGGCGGATGTCAACATATTTGTCAAAACTCGCCTGGAAGTTATACATGCCGCTGTAAGCCAGGATTTGAGGCTAAATCGATAGGGTGAGTTATTAAATTTGAATGCTGAAGGTACCTTGCTTCCTATTTCGATTTTCCTGCTTTAAAGCTGGTGGGAATAACAAATCAACCCGTGTTACTGTGAAAATGAATACAAATAGTTCAGGAAATATAACCTGCAACCATGTAACTTGTTATAGAACCCCCACCCCATCCCCCAAAAAACGTTTTATTCGAATCTTAAGTCAGATCTGCAAAACGTTCAGTCAGGAAACAACTATAGAATCAGTCAGTGTCCTCTAGTCAGAGGATAGCCCTGGTTATACTTTCTGATATAATTTGTTTAACCCTTGAATTCCCTCCAAATACCAAGGCATCGTCTCACTTACAAATGAATTTGAACAGCCCAGAGTGTACAATTCGCGTTTTAATTAATTCAATCTTTATTTTAGATCGAAAGAATGTATTGACATAAACGAATGCAAACAAAACAATGGCAAAGGGCCATGCGAACATAATTGTAAAAACGAAAATGGAAAACACACTTGTTCGTGCAACGAAGGTTTTAAACTCAGTAGAGATGGCCATTCTTGTGAGGATATTGATGAATGCCGAACTAAAGAAATATGTGATCATATATGTGTTAACACAAGAGGAGGGTAGGTCAAGTGTGTGCAAAAGCACCACGTACTGCAATATATGCATGTATACCAATAGTAAAGAACACAGACAGCGAATAATTCTTTTAGTCTTGTTCGAGGCTATGTTTGCTTGCATGTGGAATATTATGCACTGGACTTGCGAGTATATACTGATTTCTGAAATTGAAAGGCCGGGAAATTGCATTATACGCGCAGACTATAGAAATAGCCTTGTATTACTATCGCATTCCTCTTTTGTTTTTAGATATTACTGTGACTGTAGGAATGGTTTCTTCTTAGCCAAAGATGGAAAGAAGTGCGACGACACAGAAGATTTTTCAGGTAACTAATTCTTGCATCCGCTGTTGTTGCTTCGAATTTCTTCGAAATCCTAATTCAAACAACAGAAGCAACAAACCTTTCCACTTGTATATCTCTGCTATGTAAATAACTAAGGTGTATGTTTACACATGGCGATTTAGGGTTCACGTCTTCTAGCGTATGAAAAATGCTACTGACGCAACGTTACCGTTGTCCGTTGATTTAGTTTATGATTAAGAAATCCTCGTTACTTTAAGCGCACCAACTCGATCACATAGAGATTATAAATTTTCCTTTCAGAATGTGGTGTGAAGGATACGATGATAGAAGAAACAAGGCGTTGGACTGATACCAACAATGATGATTGGCCTTGGATTGTTCGTTTCACTTCGATCCTGGAGAGTTGGTTTCGACAAGAAACGAACAAATGGGGCGTTTTGGGTATAATTCTTAGCGACAAGTGGGTGCTAACAACAAGTCATTCACTTCCGAAAGGTGGTTCGTACAGGGTTCACACAAACAACGGTGCTACGGCCGACGTCGCTGAGGTTATTCCGTATTCGTCTTGTAAGCCAAAGATAGCTCACTGCAAAAACGACATCGCCCTCGCCAAATTAACAAGACCGATTAAATTCGCGGAGAACGTTCGGCCCATATGCATTCCAGGTCGTACGAAGCAACGGAGCTTTCTACAGAATCGAAGCGAGCCAGCCATGATCCTGTCAAACCTTGGTTTCAATGGCTTACAAAAGAGAACTGTTCAGGTTGGCACGTCAGCATCTTGCACACACTATAGTTTTTCCAATCACATGATTTGTGCTGGTGGTGAACGTGGTTCTTGTGCAGGCGATAGTGGCTCGCCACTGATGTTCTCAAGAAGTGAGCTCAATAGGATAAACCAAGGCAAGATACAGTCAAAAAATATCACGTATCTTAGTGGCGTGTTGAGCTGGGGCAACGATATACTGCATGGTGCTGACCGCTTTGATTTTGATTTCGACGAATGCAATTCGGATCCACAATTCCTTGCGTACACAAATATTGTCAGATATCTTAAATGGATCCAAGATGAAACAGGAATCGTACCTCGCACATGAACGGCTCTCACAGATATCTAGAATACACAAGCAAGTAGTTTCGTCGAGGAAGATTATCAAGCAAAATTTGCTCGTCCGAAAAAAGTTTAGTGCGTAATAAAACAAGACCACTTAGCTAATCAATATCGTCCTATATATACAACGTGTAATAATTAAATAAGTTTTTACTATATGACATGGTACAATTATAGCCTACATAACTTAATACTCATAAAAGTACGCATAAAAGTACGTGTAAAGTGTCAATTTGCATAACAGTACGTGTAAAGTGTCAAATTAGGCCTGCTACAATTAACACTAATTAGGTGATATTTTTTTCACTAATATTTTAATTTATAAAATTAACCAATCTGTTGGGGTTCCAAATTATATATATGCTACAAATCTGCTGTCACTTCTAATTAGAGGTGTATTAGTGAGACAGGCCCATGCACGTATTTCCAACATGGACATGTATAGAAGAAACTTTAAATGTAAACACAGAAGAATCACTAAGATACGATTGTGGCAATTAAGAGTTCCAATTTCCAATACTATTTGTAGCCCAATATGTTTCCTTTAATTAGTTTATTCACTTTTGAATCTAGCCTTGCGTGCAGTCGTGAATAAAATATTTGCTTACTATGCTGCATGCATGGCACTTACTTTATCGTTATCCTGAAACAGGCGGTAGCAAATCTAATCCCCAGGGTCCGGTTGTATGTAGCCCGTTTTACGGTGGATAAGCCAAAATTAAATACCACTTTTAAGGTCTGTTCACACGATCCAATTCACTTCTGACGTATGGAATATAGTCGGTTATTAATAAAGCAATAGTGCTGCATTGGCTTCAGTGGATTTGCTGCTCATATACATTACGAGACAGCAGACTATAAAACATCCATCAGAAGTGAATTGGATTCGTGTGAACAGACCTTTACATCTCTCTTGAATGAGTCAACTTGAATATTATGCACTGAATATGAAGTTGTAAACAGTATCTTTGTATTAAGGTCAAAAACATATAGTTCGTTTGTTGGATAAACGTTAGACTTGCTTTCTATTTTGAGTGTCACCACCGTTTCAGGTAAACCGGCTTGATACAACCGGCCCAGATTACTTTCGTTTGTTGCAGTGAAAATAGAATATATAGAGCACGACACGTAGTCATAATGACTAAAAGAATATTTTGTAAATTTTGTTGTTTTTACACGTTTACCTTAAGAGTGAAAGTATAATATATATTAAGTAGAGCATTGAGAAAAATGATGGTCATTTGGGGTTTTTTTATATGCCAGTTAGCATCAGTGATTTACCAAATTGTATCCAAGATATTTCCAAATTTTTACCAGATATGTTTCCAGTAATATTACTGGCAGTTATATTATATAGGCGATTTACTCTTTTAACAAAGCAAGAGTTTGATATACTGTAAATCTGAAATTGATGCAAAAAACAATGTTGTGATCATGGCTATATATACATGTAACATGGATTTCTGCATGATTCAGTCTGAAACTGCGAAATCTTTAATGATCCACTCGTTTATATGATGTTCTCTTCTGGCGTCGTAAAGCATCCTTTCGTCTCTTTTTATAGTCCTGTGTCATCTTCTGTCTTACCTCGACCCAATAGCGGTTCAAACTTTCAACTGATTCATGTCTCATAAAACTAGAACTTTCAACTACAAGTGAAAGTTGAAGAGTGTTTTTATTTTTGACGATCGACTTTTTAGGCTTTTATAATAATTTTGTATTCAATAGTATTTTTTTCTATGATCATATAAATTAATTCATAAAATAAAATTCAATGTCAGAATAATTATACACTAGTTTGATTCGCTATAATAACCTGTGGGTTTTTATGACATGCTACACGAAGAATGATAAACATTTTCAAGAATATAAAAAAAAGATAAACATTTTCAAGAGAGGAAACATTAGTTTGGACATTTTAAAGACGCTTAAGTCTTTATTGGCGAATTCTATTGTGACCTCTAAATCATTATCCACTTAATAAAACATCTAAATTCCGCCTTACCTTCCAGTGCGTTCATCATTTCCAGATTATCTGGATGATAAAATAAACATCTTTTTGTGCTGACCTTTGACGAGTGATTACTATCAGCCTGTTCAACGTCATCCTCCGATTCACTGGCACTACTGTCGTACGGAAGTGCTTGCGACAGCTGCACTGGAGGTTTCCAATTACTGACAACTGTCGCTTGTTCTGCCGAATTTAAGTTTTCTGCATTGTCTTCAATTTCATCCAAATCCGAAAAAAATGAAAACGTTTTATTTTCCTACGAAAATGATAAAAAGAATTAAACGGTTAATATTTTAGGTATTCACTCGACAGATATGAAGTTACACCAGCAGAAAAACAAGATATCGATAACGGTATAAATATATGAGGGATCAAACATCATTCATTCATCATATTGCATCATGAATTACCATACCTTTTCTTTATTGCCAAAGAAATCTTTCAATGAATCAGATACGGTGTAAAATCTTTCTTTCGTGGAAGCATCTTCGTTTAATTTTGGTTCGTCATTTACCACATTGCTCTCTAATTTTTTCTCAGGACTGTCAGATTTTGTGATATCTTCCTCAAATTTGGCATGATCTTCGCGATTGGGATCATAGTGTGTGTCAACAGAATCTCTATTGCAAACACAAATCATACATGGAGAATACTATAGTCAAAACCTGGTACAAAAATGCAGTATGGAGTAATATAGCGAGAAAACAAATACGTGTCCTGTACTCATACGTAGGTACAGGTCTCCGTTAATAAACCTACCGGACAAAAATATAAAATACAACAATTAATATAAAATTATTTTGCAAAATGCGGAAGATATCGCCCCCAAAAGTTCACTAATGTTGTATGTTGTGTATATATTCGTCTTAAGCGCAGCGAAACGGCCATTGTTGAGCCGAAAGTGTTTTTCCCCGCATAATAATACAAATTAGTATTCGCCACAACTCCATTATATATTTTTTAGATTTTACAACGTTCTCAAACCAAGATTCCATTCATTTTGCCTATACATAAAAAAATTATCTATAGCCAGAATCATCCACTCTGGAAAACTACAAACTGTACATCAGACTCACCTGTACAAGTTCCTGGAATCTTCGCTTTCTTCCAAAAACACCGAGTTTGTACCAAGAACATCTTGAAGAACTTTCAAAGACAAACGTTTCTCATCTTTTAGTTGTTGGGCTAAATCGTCCTCCTCAAGAATTGGTGTTTCTAATGTCGACTCTATTTCATCGTCACTTTCTAAAAAACGTTCATCCATTTTGAACCTTTGATCATGACCAAACGTTTGTTGCAATTTCATCAGCTAAAGCAGTAATAAAGCGTCCTTGTTAGGTCGTGATTGTAGGAGAATTACATTAATTTACACAGGAGTCAAATGAATTTACACAAAAATGACAAAATATACTGTCATGACACTGCACGTTTCGTTCATCTCCAGAATCATATATATTTTGTGAATGGCATTTCTTTCAAAAAAAGCACCTTTTCGCCGGATTTTCCATCAAAATATTCTTTACCAAGAAATTCGTCAACTTCTTCATTGTCATCATCATCGCTGGAAGAAGCCATCCCTAGCCACGCAAGTGCTTTTGAGCCGGTTACTTTCTAAGAAAGTGGAACGAATGTTTTTGTGGATTTATGTTAGCTATCTTAATATTAGCTTAAATTTATTTATTTATTTAACTTCGCCAGTAACATGCATTTATGGCAGGGTCACCACAACAGTGCGGCACCAATTATTGCGGGCTCTAAAATTCATGGTTCACCTCTCTTCGTTGTGTTAATTGCGTGAAAAAAACAAATTAATGTGGTGTATATAAATTGAAGACTGACCTCTCTTCCACTTGAAATTTTCAAGGTTTCTCCGTCCATGTTGTTATCATTCTCAAAAACAATATGATTTCCTCCTTTATCAGAACTTGAATCCACCTTTTCCAGGGCTTTTTTTACAATTTCTTTTTGATTTTTAAGAACTTCTTTTCTTTCTTCTAAAGTTTCCAGTCTTAACTTGTTGGAGATTTCTTTTTTCACTCTTGATTTGAAATGGGATTCTGCAGCCATGAATGATTTTTCATTTGAAGAACTGCGTTCATTGGTTCTGTTATGCTCATTTAGTGATTCATGCTTTGGCGAAATTTCCGAAAAGGAATACTTTCTTTTTGACGCCTGACTTGACTCTTCAGTTTCTGACTGGACTTTGCTTTCGTTACTTGACAAAAGATGATCAGCTTTGTCATCAGAGTACTTCTCAACCGTTTTATTCTCCTCTTTTCTCTTCTTTGAGCTTGGTTTATCATTTTCTTGATGCCGTTCATTTTTGAAACTTGGTGCTAACAAATTATCATCACTGCTATAAACAGAAGTTATACTCTCATCTAAGCTCGAACTATCTTCTATGGAACAACTGTTATGACTTGTCGACTGACTTGTATTACTGTCAGAACTTTGGTTCATGGAGGGCAATGAAGTTGGTTTATCGTCAACAATAGAATTTTTCTTTGTGGAAAACCCCGATTCATTGTTTTGTATTAGATCAGATTCTTTTTGATGCTGTTTAAAACTACCCTGACAATAGCCTGTTTCATCAGACAGTAGAGTCTCACGGATCTTAATCTTTTTGAAGCAGGACTCTTCGTTTTTCGCTTTAATTTTTTGGCTGTTCTTGTTATTATTGTCATCGCCATTGTCGTCAAGCGAACGTTTGATTGAAACTCTATTGGTAGGATTGGCTTCATCAACTCCATTAAAATCTGAATCACTTTGATAAAGGTTCCAAGTTAAGCTATCAACAGAATGGCGGTGGTTAAAGTCATTACCCCTCAACTTCTTTAGACAATGCACAGTTTTTGACGGATCAAATTTTGCTATCTTCTTGCCATCTCGTCGGCGCAAAAATACAATTGGTAATACTCTACCAAATTTTCCAACAACCCAGTTTCGTTTTTTCGGTACAGGTGTCCCTGGAACTGCTGATTTTATATCTTCTATTACGGAAATCTTTGGGATATTACAATTAGCTTCACTTTGTTCATCATTTACCTGATTCTCTTTGTGCAATCTATATCGAAAACAAAACCTTTTTGTGGCTAAACAAGTTAACATAGTCAACGATAATTGACAAAGGATTTATGTACACTATATCAGTACCATATGTATATTGGAAGTCTAAAACAAAAAATTCAGAAGTACCTTGTCAAATAATCTTCCTTTGCAACTTCTACCTTGAGAATTTGGCCCTTCCAGTTACACTTGTTATAAGTTGCTAAGCCTAATATTTGTTTAATTGAATGAAAGGTAAAAAAATTGGATTATCACATTGAATTATTTGGGCCATATAATGGAAAAAATATATCTTACATACATTTTCTAAAATTCTTCTCAGAGATGTCAATGTTAATGTATGCAAACGTTTTAATATGATCTCCTAAAAAGAAAGTTGAGTTGGGAAAAGTATCTGCATATTTGATTTAACAGCTGTTTTAAAGAGAAATTGGTGAGCATGTATCAGGTATAAAGTAGAGTACCTGAATCGTCATGACGGGTTATAATTTCTAAGTCTTTGACATCACCAAAAGGCTTAAACTTTAGCCTTAATTTAGAAAAAAACACATATCATATAAGGTAATTTAGCCAGGCATACACTATCAGGTAATTTAGCATAGCCAGAATTTTAGGAAAGGGGGAGGGGCTGCCAGTGTGAGTGTGTAACTCAAGACAAAGTTCATGCTAAACTTTCTGGGCAGAATTTTGTGGCATTAATGATGGACAATTTTGATGGGGAAAATCATCATTGACAGCATTAAAGTGATTCACTTCACTTATCACTAGGGGTGGCCAGGCCCTCCACCCCCCCCCCCCTCTAGCTAGAGGATGAAGCAGCTAGTTTGGATGATCCTCCATATACACCTCTGACTTGATTTTAAACTCCTCATCTTTTCGGATGTAGTTGTGTTATGTATGTGGAGTTTTTTTAGTCATTTATTTTCAGATTTACACAGGTGGTTTTATTAATCGCATGACTGATGACTACCCTTTGATGGATAACGTACACCTTCACACCAAATTTTGAAGTAATTGGTGGAAATTTCCTTTTTATACTGTGATGGTTTCTAGAAGGATTTTAATGTGCTTCATTCTGAAATTGTTGCAATTATGAAAATAAAAGTATCACTCGTATTGTAGCGTTTACTCATTTAGGCTCTTAGGTCGAAAAGTCGAATTACTCGAATACCGCATTTGATGTGTCAATCATGCGTATTAAAGTCATTAAAATTTGTCACTGCTGAACATTTTTAGTGAACATTGAACAATAACATTTTTTCCAATTGCACTTTCTCACGTTCATATGAAATAATTATTTATGGCCAGGCTTAAAACTATATATAATTATCTATATTCTCTACCTCAAGTCATCTTTCGATACTTCTTTGTACAAACCGCCGATAAACATTCGTTGAATCGTTCTTTGAGCTCTTGATTCCGCCATGTTGTATTTTATGGAAAATCATATTAACATGAAGAACTTATTTGTTTATGTCTGGTAAACGCTGACATAGATGACATGATCATTGGGCTCAGCAAGTGTCTCATTCGTAATTTTGGAAGAAGTCAAGAAGACGATCTGATCAATGCGAACATGTTTTGCTCGCCCACACGATAATGGTCTCGAAATTGGTGGACGAGATTACCCAGTTTCACGATCAATGTTCAATTTTGAAGCAGATAAATTGGGATACAACTAAAGTCTTACACGAAATCCGTAATTCGGGGTGTTTACCTCAAGATAGTGACTCGGCATATTTGATACCAGATGAGGATTTGGAAGCCTTATCGCCTGTTTGTGAAACTTTGCCAACTATCGTTGTTATAGGGCAAAGTCTGTATGCAAAGGTGGTTGTAGTCAATCAGATTCTCGGAGAAGCAGTCTTGCCTGATGGCGATGATATTGATAATTCGGAATCATGGCGAACAATTCGTCTAAAATTTGGGCCTCGCGGAGTGAGTTTGGTTTTGCCCGATAGCTATGTGCTTGCATCAACTCTCAGTTCATTTGAACGGGAAGGACAGTGTGTTCCTAGAAGTGATTTAGAGTTGAAAAATGGTGACAAATTAGATCCCGCATTAGCTTCATCGGTCGCGGAGGTTACTCTACCTCATCCGTTGTTAAAAGCGGGTGCCCAGATAGTTTGTTCGTCTACAGGCCTTGACTCGACAACGGAACAGTTGGAACAAAATGTTAAAGCCTATTGTGAAGGCGCTATACCTATTGTTATCTATGCTGTAGAACATGAAGAATTGAGTGAACAGGTTTGATATTTTATTGATACATTAGAAGGATAAGATAAGTTGTTGCTTCAGTTCTTCGAAACGAAACAGCGTGTACAGTTCAATTACTATGAAATTCACTTTTGTTTCCAATGAAAATTGGAACAAGAATTTATTGCACCATTATTAATTCGTACCTTTATGTATTTCGAAACGTAATATTTTGACATTGATGGAATGCATTTGGAAACAAAAACAATCTGGAAATACCCTTCTTATGCTGTAACAATAGATTTCTTTCTCATTGTTTCTGACGTAGTCACAGTCACGAACACAGTCTGGATGATCCAAGGATTTAGGCTTGATAAAGGGGAAATGGATATAGTAATGTTTAACTACAGGCATGAGCCTGGTTAAACCACTGATCTGAAGTTAAACCAAGAAATGTTGAAAGTTGTGAACCTGTTCAATGCTTGATCAAGATATTAGCGTAAATAGTGTAAAAATTCTAGGCCGAAAATCAGGCCAACACCAGGCTCAGACCAGCAGTGTAAATACAGCTTATTAATTTTCTTTGTCCATGCACGTTTTCCTTTTTATCCTTTTAATGTCATCTGATACCACAAGACAATCTCAAGTTCAAATGAAATTGTGTAGCAGTGCAAATAGTTTTTCCATACTTCATGTTCACTAGATTCAGTCACTCACAGGTGCTGGTTGTTTGGAAGATGTTTAGCTTAAACAGTGGATAAGTTCAAAATGGAAAACAGAGTTATCTATTTATTGAACAACTGAGCTGAACTATTTCAATCTAAAGAGTTTAATATTCAATGGAAGTACATATTTAATGCAGGTTCAATCATTCACAAGATGTGTGAAAGCAGTTTTAAACCTTGGCTTATCCACCGTTTAAGCTAAACGCCTTTTAAATAATTCAACAACATTGATCCTATTCTAGTATAAAACAAATAATGAATGTTTTCATTTGTGCAATTGATGGAACATTTCATCTTTTACCTCTGAAAATATTCTTACCATTTCACTCATAAGCATTCGTTATTTGTATACTATACTGAGTAGGATTTTATACTCTCCATATCAGGTTAACATTATTTTTTTCAATAGGACGTCTGCCAATTGTCACATATCCAGGCATTGGACCCAGATCGTAGTATTTTCTTTGCAAAATGCCACCGAAACACTCAGGACTCCACAGAATCTGACAGAGAATTTATCTCAGGGCCTTTAAATCAAAGTGGAAGTGATAAAATATCTCAACAGCTGTGTGATCTTGGATTTTTATCTACTGATACTATCAATGATTCCCCAGCAAAAAATGAAAATAATGGCAATCTCACTATGAGAAAGTCTGAAATTACAAGGTTGAAGCCAAAAAGCAAACTCATGAATGGGATTTCAAAGTTTTCTGAATTTGAAACGTATTTACACAATGTATTACAATATGAACTGCTTGTTGGTGCTTCAGTTCTAAATGAACACCATAGCCGTATCTTGGGCATGTTCATCGCAACTGCATATGATCTGCAACGGGACATGATAATTACACCTAAGAGATTGGAATATGCTAAGAAGAAAGAAGAGGAACTGTTTCACGCTATGATGGACAGTGCTAGTAGAAAACAAGAAGAAATCAAAGCAGAAATTCGTCTAACTATTACATCTCTCACACCAAAACTAGTCGAGGAAGCTGCTGCTATGGAGTTTGTTGGTGTTGAATTGACAGACAGTGATGAGCTTGTCAACTCCAGTGATATTAGTAAATGCACATATCAACTTAAAGATCTTCTGCTTAAGGAGTTAAATAAGTCTTTGGCTTTAAAGCTGCTGGATTCAGTTCAATGTTTGAAAGAAAGCTTTCTTGGTACATTGCAAAGATGTATTGAAAGTTTAGAAAGTTATGACAAAGAAGAGAAGAGTAAAGAAGAGAACATCCATGCAGTTAGTGCTTTTAAACAGGTTTGTGTTTCTGTTATGCAACAATGGGCATTAAATTATTGAAAATAATCTTGTATAGTACATGTATAGTTCTGTTTTTGTATTAATCAATGGTGCAAATTTAAATAGATTCTAGATTCAGCGTACCAAATGGAGGCAACGACAAGGACGGTTAATCTTGCTCGATTTTTATTTGAGAAAATCCAGCAAGCGTTGACCATGCTACCTCGCAAAACTCCTGTGAAAGTAGATGTCGAATGGAAGAAGAAAGTCTCGCTTGATTTACTCGCCAATCTCAGTGATTCAAAACTCGCCAAAAACTTGTGTTCTCAGTTCAAGCAACGACTACGGAATTCCCACGACTCTTTTTCAGCATCCATGAAAATGATTGCTATGTACCACGGCGGACGACTGGAGAAAACGGGAAACGGACTGGAGAAAGTGCGTAAGAATTACGCGCCTAAAGTTGCGCGACTTGTTCTTGAAAGTACGTCGCTGCGTGATCTAATACTTTACGGTACGCCCCAAATGGGTCGGGAAATTGGGCGTGGTCAGTACGGTGTGGTGTATGCATGTGACAAGTGGGCTGGTTCTGGACCTTGTGCCTTAAAATCTGTTGTTCCTCCTGATGATAAACATTGGAACGATCTCGCTATGGAATTTTGCTACACCAGGTTGGTACAATGGTACTCTCTGCAGATCTTTTCCTGGTCGCCATATTTCATTAACTTGTTCTCTTCGCAGAACATTAGTGACTCCTACTTCGAAAATAAGCATTAGGAATATATAATAAGCGACCTATGTCTCATAATGTCGGTGATCACTACAGAATAAAGAACTTTGTTATTTTGCCGGCCACCAAAAATACTCTCCGACTGTCAGTGATCAATGAGAACCATGCAGGCTTTATGTACAAATCTTAAATACTAGGACTTATTAAACCAGTGACTCTCCAACTAATTTGCCGTTCTTCTGCTGCTTTATTTGATTATACGATATGTGTGTTACAGAGCTTTGCCTCGCCATGATCGTATTGTTGGTTTACTTGGTTCCATCATTGATTACAACTATGCTGGCGGTGGTTGTTGTCCCGCCGTGTTGCTAGTGATGAACAGGTTAACTCGGGATTTACACCATGGTTTGAAGAATGGTTTGCATTTCTCGATACGACTGCAGATTGCTTTGGATGTCATTCAGGGAATACGATTTCTGCACAGCCAGGGTTTAATTCATCGTGATATTAAACTTAAGAATGTGCTGGTAAGTATGTAATGTGCAATTATCAGCTGAAAGATTCGCATAAAATCAGAGGAATATAAAATATGGTTATGCACACACAAAGCATGCATTACACCACACAGGTGACATAGGTATTAAGATGTATTCTTTATATTTATGAGATGACAGACCCTCGCTATCAATTAAGTTATCCGTCAATTTTTTTATTTGAAATGTTGAAGAATAGTAAAAATTATTTATTCCAAATATATCTCACAGTTGTAGTCCTATTTTACAATTAGATTTTGAACTTGGGATTGTTATTGGGATTGAAAATCAACTGTCATATTATAAAAAGTCGCGGGCGGTAACCTTTGTTTTAGCAAATAAACGTGTTTCCTTCTAGGAAAAATGCGAGGAAAACGACAATTTTTTGCTATATTTCCTATCTTAGTTAATATAGCATGTATAAGTAAACGTAGCCGATCAGAATACAGCATTTACAATGTACACGACTTCAAGTTTTTACTAAACCCATGCATAACCACTTTGTAAAAACTGATTGTTGGAACGAACAACTAATTTGAAATTAGTTGTCTCAGATTCATCTCTTTTTCTCAATTTTATTTCGTATAACCAAAAAATTGGTTGTTTTAACCAAGCTTTTAGTTATTTTAAGCAATAAAAATTGGTACAATGAATGGAGGTAACCAATTTTGAATTGGAAATGTTTTTACAATGCACCCGCCCTTAATTTTACTTTACTTTACTTTAAGCTTGACAATGTTCATCGAGCTAAGATAACAGATCTTGGCTTTTGCAAACCCGAGGCAATGATGTCTGGTTCAATTGTCGGCACACCAATTCACATGGCACCAGAATTGTTTTCAGGAAAATATGATGGTAGCGTGGATGTGTATGCGTTTGGTATTCTCTTTTGGTACATATGCTCAGGTCAAGTTCGGTTGCCTGTCAATTTCGAACAATGTGCCAGTAAAGATCAATTGTGGTCTTGTGTGAAGAAGGGAACCCGTCCAGAACGTTTGCAACAATTTGATGAGGAATGTTGGAAAGTTATGGAAACGTGTTGGCATGGTGTGCCAGAGGAGAGGCCTTTACCCGGAAGCATTGAAATAACACTACAGCGTATGTCTGAAAGATTTCAAAATCAAAAGAAAGCAAAGCGGAAATAACTTCTTACAGTAGTTTCCACTTAAGTAAGCGGAGGGTATATTCTGCATGTATATAGATTTTCAATGATAAAATTATTGGCAAATTTTTAGGAATACCGCATGTAAATCGTGATTTCTACGTTGTTCAAAAGAATGACTTATTGTCACATGTGTGTATACCACACCAATATCTAGTGTGGTCAACTAATAAATACTTCACGTAAGTGTGAAACAATGTACATATGTGATGATGAGGCAATTATGTTTATGACGTAATCTCGAGCCAACACAGCAGTAAAACCAGCATCCATTGTATTCCTTCAGTAATGATACGCCTTTTTTATTTGTTCTTTATAGGGGCATACAAAATCAAAACGTACTTATGCATGAACTTAATATTAAGGAATCAAAACTAGTTTATAGTGTAATTTTTGACGATATGGTTATTTGCATGCATGTCTATAGAATGTTTTAAGTAGGAATTAAGTCGTGATTCACAAGGCCGTTGCCTTCCAATGCGGATCTGCACACGACCATTCTCTAAGCTTTCATTTCATGTTTCGTGCACTAGAGCATTTGGAGAGAGGATAAGGTAATAAGGGACTGGGATCAGAGATAAATACACTCTCGTGCACGAAACACGAGGTGAAGAGATTAACCTGGTGTCCCCAGCTTTTTACTCGAGCGTGGGAAAGTAAATATTACATTAATTCCTTATACTTTTGGTGAAAACATGAATTATGAACTAATTAGATGTGGTAGTATGTGAAGGTTGGAAATAACTGCATGTAATCTGCAAGTCTGTATTTTGTTTTATTTGAATAAATTATTTTGTGCATTGTTATTCATCGATTCTTTCATAACTTTGAACGACCGAAGGTTGCGTTGGATGCTGGAAAAAACAAGAAATCTCCCACCATATAGCGCGAATATTTGAACAAAAAAGTCGACAAAAGATGTTGAATTGCCTGATACAATAACCAATACTGAAAATACTGATAAAATATCCTGTCACGTTATTCCTATTTATTTGCCTTCTCACATCACATCAAATTAGATAATGTAGAAATTACATGGCGAACTTTGTCTCTATTCTTCTCAGTTAGTTGTAGCCATTTCGTTGAAAGTATTGTGCTCTTGCAACCACATCATCTGAATAATCTCCTCCAGTCGTGTGGGCATCAATGTTGTTGTATCCTGCGTTCATCCCCTGGAAACCTTTGTTGTATGCAGCTATTGCGGCTGAATAATATTTTTGAAATCATAAGTTTATGATGAAGGGAATGGGGCAGTCGTGAAATTTACATTGAATTCACCTTTAAGACGTTGGTCTGGGTCGGAAAATGGATTGTTTTTTGCATCAATAAAATAACGAAGAATATTCGTTGCTTGGTAAATGTGTTCTCTGCTATTCCAACCACCTTGTGGTGTATGCCAGTTCTTGTCGATCTGCACGTTGCCAAAATAGAAGAAATACACATAAGGATTCCTTGAACATGTGCCGGCGGCTCAGACGCAATGACACATGTAGAACACAAAAGAGCGTCAAATTGTTTTTCGGACTGGACCGACTGAATTTGGAGGTTACCATTTTGTTTACACTGATACTGATAGCAATTAGAACGTAGATGAAAACCAGTCAATCAAGACGCTCCAAAGTGAGCCACTAGACTCTCGCGACGCAAACATACTGTAACTCATTAGCATATACGGTATATAAAATACTTAACCTGCATCAGCCCAAAAGCTTGACCATGATCCCCCCAACCACCAGTCTGCTCTATTGCTGTTCCACCACGACTTTCTCTAGATATAATAGCTGCAATAAGTGCTGGTTCAACTGACAGTTCTCTGCCCACGCTAATGATTGTCTCTTTATGGGCTTGAATATAGCGGCCATCACGTTCCGCCATTTTCTGAGAACTACCTATTCCTATGTAATGTAAAAAGACGGTTAAACTAAGGAATTTTTATATTAAAACTATTCAGTCCGACAAGCTCTTCCTTATGTCAGTCACAACAATGGCAACACGAAAGCATTTGCACACTAATACTCTAAAAGCTATTAGCTAAAATATATACTCTGATATTTGCTCTCTTTGCACACGCTAACCCCAGACGTCAACAACTGCATTTGTAAATAAGCGCCAGGTGATATATATTGTATTGTACATACCCGCAGGAAGACGATCTTGACTAGCTGTCCTAGTTGAAGCACCAGCAGTTTGAATGTTTCTTACACCTATTATAAAGTGAAATCTGGTTTGATTAATTTTTAATTTGGGAATTTAAATGCATAGGGAGATATTGACTATAGAGTAACAAATACATGCACAGTCATGCATTTCCGTTCTTGGCGATGCTGTGTGTTATGATTCAGTATGGCCATGCATGCAAATAACTTACTCATTCTAATCACGTTTTCTTATCAGCGAATTTTCTTTGACAAATATCTCTTCTTCTTCTGAATTCTCGTCGACAAATATCTCTTCTTGCTCCCTTGACTTGATGACATACAAATGCTTTCGATACTTTGGATATTTTGCTCTTACATACCAACTTTATACCGAGAAATGCAATACTTTTTCTTATCAGAGCTTTTTCATGGAAATCACTCAAATCCCTCAGGGCTAAGTCTCTTGGTATCATATGACGCCGCGATCGTTTAGCGATGGCGATTTTCTGATTCGATTCTGATCATTACTGCATAAAATATTTGTCTGTGGAGAAGTCTGCCAAGTATAGCACTGGCGATACAGTCGCTCTATAGTCTATATATATTTACTAAAACCGGGCGTTCGACGACAGCGCACTATCAAATTGTATAAGCGGCATTTATATATCATCTGACATATTGGAAAATAAATTGGAGAATAGTTTCCGAGAATAAAAATAACAACAAATGGCTGTTTCCGCAAGGTTTTCTCCCCTGTCATTGATATCATGCAGATACAACTTATAGAACTTCTACTCCTCGTATTACTCTATATTGCATGTGTAAAATTTGAAGTCAGCTTTCCAATAATCAGCAATGTTCCACAATCCATTCTACATTACGATTCTTTTTCTTCACAGGATGTATGCATGTGGCAAAACATTTTTATTCATATCGATTTATGATCATCCGGTACCGTCGTACCGACACGTTACCCATACGGAGGGGCGGACCAGCATTTTGGCTGACTGATGCGATATTTTGAGCTATACTGCAGCACCTCTGAAGAGGTCCATATTTCGGTATAGTTGGCCATACCAAGATAGAAGATACCATATTCCAGTATATTCGACCTTACCAAGATTTAAGATAACATATTCCGGCATATTCGAGGTCGAATATACGATATTCAGGTAGATTTTCTTCCCAAGGTCGAATATACCATATTCCGGTATATTCAACCTTACATTACAGTACATTTTTATCGTGTCAGTCTGTTTTATATCTTTCCATAGCCTAGTTAACAGTTCGAGTATATTATACATCGGTATCATTACCAAGAAGATTAGGAGAAAAGCTAGTCTTCATTTTTGCCAATTTCGTATTTAATTTGTTAGGGTTGTGAAATTTTGACCGATGCATTTTGCAAGATATTTCTGGCAGTCCTTTATAACTTTTAAAACCGACAAAATCGTACATAGTCTTGTGGTCCGGCGAAGTACCATAAAAACAACCAGTTTTGGTCTCTACATTTTGCCTTATCATCAACAGTAACAAACCCATGATTTCCAAAATAAGTTATGTAAAATGTACATATGTATACAGCGTTCTAATATATACATAGAAATGAACAACTAATTGTGCAAACGTTATGTGAAATAAATAAAAAAAAAACAAGAAATATAGGTGGAAGTTTCAAGTCACGAATTCTATGCCTTCTCAAGTCCTTTTTTAGTTTTCATTGCTCCACAAATTGTACTCTAACAATTTGCAAGCCCAGTAACATCCATCCGGCGTTCCAAATCTCTATGCATGGTTTAAATAATTCTAAGGATGTTTATTCTAGTTATTTTGTTGTTTAATAACCCTGATACGGGAATTGTGGATAAACTGAAATATACGGGCGATTAAGATGTTTCATACGAGATTGTGCATCGCGCCTTCTTTGTTCTTCATACGCTCTTAATCTTTCTTCTTCCAGCTTGTTTAAGGCTATCGTGTGAAGATCCCTAAAATGACGCCGAGTAATCTCATGCAGGTCATCAAATACTACAAGAGAAATAAAAGATATTCCGCAATCTTTACGTTTTTCGACTTTAATGCAACTTTCCTCTTATGTAGCTACTTACTTTTCAAATGTATACTACAATGACATGCATCTTTTCGATTACATTTATGCAACTCTAAGTGTGTCCGTTCGTGTAAGAAGGGCATCTCGATAAAAAGAGGATTTCTGAGGTGATATTCCATTGAGGTTGTATTCTTATGATCCGGCGACTCTGGGCACTGGTGCTGAGCACGCAGTCTGAACGCAGCCTTACTCTGCCAATAGTGAGGACACTTATACTTCAAGAAAACTTATGCATTTCTGAGTGTAGTAAAGCCTAAGTTGGCAATGCAATATTCGCATTCATTTTACTATCTACCTCTTGCATTGTATGGATGGTTGCCGTCAGCTAGGATTTCTTGTAAAAAGTTTGCAATTGCACCAGTTGCAATAATTCTTTCAGCCAGCGGCAAGCTGTCAAAATAACGGTGGTCGACAGCAAATGGGTTCAGTGGTGAGGGGAACATGCACATGTGAACAACCTCAGCTATAATCTCCCAAAGCTTTGTTCCTGGAAAAAATGAAATATTTACTAACACAGTACAATACAAACTTTTACATTATGCAACCGGAGTGCTACTGGAATGCCATCTTGTGCATGGTACATACTGGTTAACAGCTAATTTGGGTGAATTGATGTAGCAAAATACTCTATATTTGGAGACTTATGTGCAATAAATAAACAATATATTTGTAATGTACCTTTTTTTCGCCAGTTTTCAGTTGACTTAAGTTTCAATGGGCTGTCTTTCTGTTGTTCAATTTCAGCTTCACTTTTTCCAGTTAGTTGAACTATTCTTTGGTGATTGGACCGTATCTTAAAGACATGCATTCATTATGTGTAGTTGAAAGAAAACATAAAATGCCATATACATATATATATAGTGCAGGTTTCAAATCTATTAACTAGACACAGAAGAATTGTGTGATGGAAATAAGTTTCATAATCATGTTAATAGCCTTACCCATACATATGGATAGTTGTATCTTGCGTAGGCAGCAATGAGGAACAAAGTCGACTTGTTGTCCTAGAAGAGTAATATGTTTTATATATAAATATAAGCACCATTTTTGCATAAATATACAGCTAAAACTACCTTAACACTTTGACCGCCAAAGACGAAGATTTTTGTTTTTTGATCGATTATGATTTATCAATCTGTCTAGACCACTGGCGGTGAAAGTGTTAAAGGTAACACTAACCTTAACCCTAAAGCATGATCTGATGGGATTTACATTTCAATACAATAACATTAATTAACATTTCCTTTCAATAGATTATTTTCTGACCTGGACGTCTACATCTTTTTCACTTGGACTTGCTGGAGGTAAACCAACATCCATTAAATCTCCATAGTTCCCATATCTGCATGATACATCATTATCAACATTATGCATGAAATATTTTTTATATTGTATGAAACATACACCTTCTACTCGGGTATCCACATTACGTATCAAGGCCGATCATAGTGCTTGCTATAATTCAAATTACCCATTTTTTATATGCATAAAAACCTTTCTACCTTTCAAGCTGACTGTTTTGTGAAAGAAGCAAGGATTCCCTAAAATGCAATACATTTTACTGATTTATTAAAAAACTACTTGAAACATTTAGGAATACATAAAACAATATCAAGCTCAATAAGCCATGTGAAGCAAGTCAACTTCTTACGAGTTCCGTGGCACATTTTCTGGCTTATCAAAGGTAAAACTAGAGGATCCTGACTTCATTTTTGCTGATGCTGGTGATCTATAGTACTGAAGGACCTCTGGTGACTATAAAATACACATTGTAATCATTATTACATAACAATTGCAAATTTACATTTGAATTTTTGCTGTTTTAAGCAACTAATATTGAATGAAGGATCATACCATTGGCTCATTTAACACCCTGCATATCAGTTCTTCTCTGCCTCTTAATGTCAGGGCAAAATACTTGAAACCCTGAAATTAGATAAAGCTATTGAGGTGAAACCATGAGGTAAAGTATATATTGATATTGTGAGGTAGGCCACTAGACATAAGGGGGGGGGGGAGAGATTGACATATTTGAAAGTATAGTCATTTGGAATTCCTAAAACACAACCTTCAAACATCCTGTCCTTAAGATTTCCCCAAGAAATGCCTGAAATTTCTTCTTTTCCTATAAAGTATATGAATACACAAAATATTAAAATAATTGTGAAACTGAAAATATTTTATAAATATGGCTGACAATGTGTCAACTTGTGACATCTAAATGTCAACTCAAATGTCTCAAATGCCAAGGCGAATTTTTACTGGTGTCGGAATTCTGTGGAAAATTTGCTTTAATGCTATAGAATAATGTAATCACCAAAGGCTTTCCGCTCATACTTTATTATCATATTTTGTTTTTCATCTTCTGCTTCGTATTTTAAAAATTAACACAGAGATTCTCCATGTAGTAAACTGTGATGCAGGCATGCAGGTAATAACTAATTTGGCGCTATATTTGCGCGTGATTAATTTGTCGTGACATTTTTGGTTATAAAATATGGCGGTTTGATTTAAATTTTCAATGTTTATAAAAGGAAGAGCATTTTTACGAAATTGGTTATTGGCAGCTGGGTTTTATTGTATCATGTCTTTGTAATAAAGGATTTGCAAAAGTAATGAAGGAGTACTTCTGGTTTTATTCACCAAATTATAGGTTTTATTAATCGTATTTTCCTCGTCGATTCTTGTATAAAATAAATGCAAGCAAATGCACGATATTATCAATATCTAAGGAATTTATTGTAAACACAGTTGGAGGATGAATAACGAGGGAGCAATGGATACATTTTCTGAACTCTTTCACGGTTTACAAAGAAATAAAAAGTGAGTAAATAATAATATACAAAAAAGATTAGAATAAACTTTTCAGATAGATATTGAAATCGAATTTTGCAAAAAATCCATTAGCGCTTGTATTTTATGTTCAAAGACATCATATGCATTTGTCATCTTGTTAATACTTTTCCATATTTTTACAGTTAGTTGTAGCTCCTCCTGGTTGCAGGTTTTTCAAATCATATTAACGTAGGGTGAATTCTATGCAATAAACATTAAAAATCTCTAGCATGGAGTCAGTTTTTAATATGCAAAATAGCTAGCATGCTAGAAACCTAGATTGGAATTGTGCTCCCTGGAGTATTGTTGTTTTATCAGTTCTGGCTGTCTAATGTCTGATAGTCAATAATTGTTTACATTAAAGGCCAAAGTTTGGACTAGGCTATAGTGCAAATTCAGGCCTGGCCTTAAGCTCTGTGTCAACGAGAAAATCTGAACCTGCTTAATAGGTAACCATGTTTTATGTACAGAAGTAGCGACTCAAGTGGCCTTGAACTTGGCTGTACTTAGGCTTGTCCATTGTAACAGCTTATGAAAGTAAAAAGTGATAGAATCCTAGAACATCCTCTGACATCAATAAAAATTACTTGGGAATATCTACATGTTGAACATATATGGCCTTGACCTACTTTTGACCTAATGTCTAATGGCCAACATATTTGTTGATATATGTCCATGAGGCCAGGCAGAATCAGTCAGTTTAAAAAAGGTATATTATATAGTAGGTTGTAATGTGAATGATGCTGGTAGGTCCTAATTGAAAAATAAAGTGAAGAAAAGACAAAGTTGGAACAAGAATGGGAACATCATAAAATATGTTCTCAAATAACTAAAGATAAGAAGGGTATATTCAAAAGGTGCAAGTAAATGTGATTGCCTGCTTGCTGACCCAAGCATACCTGGATACATTGTCACACCTTTATGGTGTGAATTGACCAAGAAAATACACACATAATGACAATCTGTTCATTTAGACAAGTCACATCCAGTCATTCATGTTCGAATGTATATAGCATCTAATATCTGAGCTTGATGCAGAAGTTATTGGCATATTTATCAATAAATTATAATTCATTGCATGTTTCTTCAGCACTTCTCAGCATGTGCTATTTTCTTTTTACATGAATATCCATCTCCTCTCAGGAATAAGAAATTTGTTTTACCACGCCAGGCACGAATGTACGTTATAATTAAGAAGCAACTGTATATATGGCAATAATATGTTGTAAAATACACAACATTTACATATAGTTATGAACTGATGGAAACTACTAAATACTGGTGTACCTGCTCACTCCATTGAGGTTTGCTTGGCTTGGCAACATTTAAACCTGGAAGTGATAGAAAGCGCTTTCTTTTTGTTGGTGATGGCGAACTTCGTCCTCCTACTGCACTGCGTTCGTTATAAGTTTGTGATCGGTTATGAGACATTGCATATGTGTTTCTTTGTCGAGATATTCTTTATCTGTATTATACAGTATCAACAAGCAGCTGATGTATTGTACTACGTTTCACTACAACAACATACTAATGAAAATTTTCACGTCATATGCTTCAAAAAGCAAAAATCATAAAATATTAATGACGTTCTACTAATTTAAAACAGTTTCAACAGGTGACTATATTGTTCGTACATCCTTTCAGTTTTGTTGAATAACAGATTAGCATGACAGGCATTACATCTAAGTAATGATAATTACCTCGAAGGAATATTTAGCTTAAACACGTCTTTCCGATCTTAAAATTCATATGCAACAGGTTTAAGTGCAGACTCTGAAATGGTTTTTCTGTTTATACATGCACATGCACTTCCTAAATTTTTTTCCAACTGGTCGCTAACAGTCTAACTTTGCCAAATGCGGTCCACAGGTTTGTTTTCGGGTATACTTTTAAGGGCCTTTTTTCAGTTTCAAAAGCCACGATAAATATCATCAAATTCATGATATTTTTTTTTCAATATTCACGTAGGGGTAGATCTGATGGCATTTTGAGTGGTTGCGAAGCTGAATTACAGGAGGCAAGTTTTCTATTAATAATTTTTTAAAAAATATTTTCAATCCTTTGAACAGAAGTGGTTATAAGTAATGAACGAAATGTCTTTTATTATAGTTAATGCGTCAGATTGATATCATGGTAAATGCGAAGAAAGTTGAATGGGACAGTCATCTTCATGTGCTACAACTTCAGTTGGACAAGAAAAAAAAAGAATCGGGTATTCTTAAGATTGAAGTCGGCGCGAAGATGCAAGAGGTAAAACTATCCTTAAAAGCGACGACTCAATCTTGTTAGCAACTAAATCCTTTTTATAACCTCGCGTATTGTTTATTTTTTTATCAGGCGGAAAATCTGCGACATCAAATTACTGCAATGGACCAAAGTCAGAGAGATCTTGTGAATGAGTACGAAACGAAACTCGCTCATCTTCGAGATGAAGTACGTTTATACAGTTGTTATAGGAAATTTATGTCACAGTTCCCTCATCTTCTTCGGATGAAAAATTATTGGCAGTCAGGTCTTTGAGGCTTACGTTATTCCCTGTTTTTCTAGACCTAGCGCTTAAAAAAAAACAATGATATGAAAACTTGATGTTATTTATAATCTCAGGTCAATAAATTGAAACGCGATCATGATAAATTACAAAAGAAAAGTCAGAAACAGAATATTCAGATACAAGATGAGAAAGATAGGGTATGTAACGTCGAAGAATTGAACTCGGTACACAGTTTTGAACGCAGAAAGATGTTGTGCATGGTAACTCGGTCTGCTGGCATTAATTCCTGCAGGAAAATTATATAAACATTACATGGTCGGACGAAACTTTTTGCTTGTCTCTTACAAGTCATATTATCCTTTTTTCTCAATAATGGACAAGTTTCATAACTTATTTCTTATGTGGTGTGCTTTTTATTGATTGCCAATTTTACAGTTGCGAAATGATCTCAATAAGAAAGACTTTGATTCTCAAAAACTCAAGGAACAAAATGAGGTACTAGATAATGTTAATTATTTAAACACTATCTGATTGTTATATATACCCCATATGAACAAGGTAAAAACGTCTTGAATGCGCGTTTTTTTACCGCGTATTACAAAAACAGGAAAGATTGCGTCGGGCCTGAAAACAGGCATCATAAAAACTATATGGTTTGTTGTTTGACACATGAGCAATATTGAGCTTTGCCTAATGTAGTCAATATTTGTTAGGACATGAAGATGAAATTAAGAGACTGGGACAGCATTGGTAGAACATATCAAGAGAGGATCAAAGGGCTTGAAAATGAAAATATGATTCTTAAGGATAAAAACCAAATATTACAGGTAGGTTTGGTAGAGCATAAAACGAACCTGTTATTAAGAGGTTCTATCATGCATGCACCTACTATATCATTGAAAGCTATGTTGCGAGAAGTTACAGGAAAGGACATTGCGTCTATACTTCTCTTGTTGGAACCGAAACAGGCCATAAAGGAATCGTAAATTTTAGAAGAGCTAGTAAAGTCGTACAAGCCTTTCAAATTTCAGCCAACGCCCTGCAGTGTCTCTAGTTTTCTTGTTGCAGCAACAAACGAAGGAGGTTCAAGATATGCTCAGTCAAAGAAAACACACCCTTGAGAACTTGGAAAAATCACATCAAATTGAAATGGTGGAAATGGAAAACCAGGTTCCTCTGGAGTCTTATATTCTTGTGAGACAGTAAAGAAGTTTAAAGCTATGAAATATTCTAATCAATAGTCTTGATTATACGGCAGATAACCAAACTGAGTGAACAAGAAGAAGAAAATAAAAAAGAAATTGAAAGGTATTTTTTTATGAATGTATACGTGCGAATGTATACACCGAATTAACAATGTCCCCTTCCCTAATTTACAACAAGCTTATCTCTGACTCCTTACTTCCCCTTCGCAGAACGACCAACCATTATTGGTTTGGGTGTATATTTGTCGTGTTTCATGTTCTTAGATTAAGAGAAGCAAAGAAGGACTATGAGTCAACAGAAAAAGAAAAATCTGCAGAACTTGTGTATTTAGACGGTAGATTAAGACATGCAACCGAAGTTATACAGGTACGGGTAAGAATCTTTAGTATACCTAGGCATTAAAATCCAATGTAGAGTCATTTCTTTTTTTTCTTTCTCCGAAAGTGGGCTGTACTGTAGTTATTTGCCAACGTATTATAATTCTTTTCTAAATTTTTACCAAAGGCGTTGGAATTCGAAAAAGATCAACTTCAAAGAGAGGTGAATTCTAAGTTTGACTTGGTGAAGGTATGGGGTATAAACATGCTTCTTAAATGACGTTGTTACTCATTTGATAAATTATACAGGTTTTTATGTAAATTATTTTGTTCTTCACTTGATAGGGCACATAATAATCTGCCCTTATAATCCTACAACGTTTCGTCGAGCTTTTACCTTTAAAGCTTACATATACAGTTTAAACTTTAACGCGTCGGTTACATAAACATTATTTAAAATAACTCAATTGTTTATAGTTGTTAGAAGACAAGCACAGACATCAAAGGGAGGATCTCACCACCTTGCAGGAAAATTTACAGCATAAGGAAGGCATGATAAGGTGATTAAAGATGACATGTTGGGAAACAGAATGCATGCATCATGCATGTCTTTGATAAATAAAGACAATTCAAGAATGCATGACTAATAAAGTAACTTCGTGTCGTGGAGATTTCACCCTAAAGAAATTGAGAATATTAATCCTACTCTCTTCAGAGATCTTCAAGAAGCCAGTGTTTACGAAGAATCTAATTCACTCCAAAGACTGCGCGAGGATTTACGTATTCGCGAGACTGAATTAAGGTGACCTAATATGATACCTATAAAAAGTGACGCATGACTCTAATTAAAAGTTTATAAAACTGGCCCTAGAAATATTCTAGTGTGTATATACACCTATCATTATATTGGAAATGTTAAAATTCACAAATCCGGATAACAGTGTGGTTTCTATTTGTGCTCATATCTAGCTCGCGTAAAGAGACAGAAAAGTTTCATCTTTCTGAGATTGAAAGGTTGCAGAAGAGGTAGTATATTATGCGTATAGTACAAAGAATAGATGAAATATGCATGGGTTAAGTGGTTTTTTGGGCAGCCGTATAATAGAACGAATTATATTCGGGTGCTGATCGCTCGGCCCTCAATGTTTTTTAATAACTCGCGGATTTGATTTTGCCTTTTACGTTTACTTTCATTCATCCTAAGATTGGCTGATTGTGAAACGACATTTACCAAGTCCAATATTGAATTAAAGAACAAGGTTAGTAGCCAAGTGTGCTGTACTCGTTTGCTTTATGCTTTTTCTCTCGGTTTTAACATAACAAAAGTCCTGAAGAACGTCAATGAGCTTTTTAAGGTGAAATGTATAAGTACGCCATCTTCGTCTATTATCGGCGTGTTTGTTTATTGTAGAACGAGCAACTCGTTGGCGAAAGTCAGACGGAAATTAAGAGACTTTTGTCAGAAAATGCCAAGGTGCACATTGTGTTATAATAATTCATATATCAGCTAGCTAATTACTATTTTGTACGTGGCGATACTTATTGAGCAGAATGCATTTTAGATCAAAGGACAATTAGAAAAATCCAGAAGTTTAGAAAATTCCAGAAGCTCCGAGGTTGAAGGGATGAAGGGTGAAATTAGTAACCTCACTTCAGATCTTCACCAAAGGTACAGTATACATGTTCTTTTATATGTTGTTTTGTAGTTTCTTTATTTAGAACCATGCTCAAAGACCCAAGTCGAATACGAAATGCTGTCAACAGTAAAACATCAAGCATCTTCACTGGATTTCTACACCGCCGCTCAGCTTGTTCTCCCAATTTGGTTATGAAGACAGGATTGGTATAGCGAGCAATATTTTTGCCCGTACATGGTCCAAAGTCACATCAGATCAAATATGATTTTCAGAAAAGGATTTTTAGAATTTTGTAATTTTAAATTAACATCTGACATCACACGGATCAAGGAATTTGTTCTCGCAATCTGCTGTGTAAAAAATGTCGCCTTATTCGATTAGGGATCTTGCTGTTGCTAACATCGCTGAAAAAATGAAGAAAATGGAAAGAGACTTGCGAAGTAGCAACTCAGAATATGATAAAGCGATGGCTGAATTACATGTGGGTTGATGGCTGAGTTATTTACAGCAGTGTTTGATATCAGGAAAATGCCCTACTAGGCTCAAAATGCTATACATGTAGTTAATTCATTGATCATTTTTAGATCATAATATGGTATGTTGCTATGGCCGATAAGTTAAGATAGATTAAATCGGTGAGATAAACATTTCCTTTTTTTGTTTAAATAACATTTAGGTAATAAAGGCACAACTTGATGCAGTACGTCTTGAAAATCGTCATCTTAAAGAAGCATCACTTCAAGGCGAACTTAAGGTAGCTATAAAGGGACAACGCCGTTGTCCCTAAAGTTAGAGTGAGACAAAGTTGAGACTAAGTTAGGAGAAAAGGGAAATGCGGCTGACCTACGCTGATGATATTCATTAGTGAAATTGTACAGTGACTTTGTGCCGTCATTTCGTTTTATGATTTCTAGGATCTCGATCTTTATCACAGCAATCAACAATTCATGTCAGATTTCCAGGTATGTACAGTGTACTAGCCAAGAGATTTTCATGTATGCATGGCTGTAAGCGCTATATCAGGTGGCTTCGATTAAACGTTTTTATTTTATAAAGGAGTTGAATACGAGTCCCAGGGCCAGGTGCAGTTTATCTCCCAACGACCCAGCAAGAAGTCCAGGAAAATCAAATATTGTGCCTGATAAGAACTCAAGTGAAAATCCAACCGTCAGCACATCTCCTGATGCGAGGTATAAACGTTTGAGTTCCCTTCTATTGCATCTGTTCCTCCTACCATAATAACCTCATTTACAGGTAATTCTCGGGGCCATTCACATCATCATGTGTTTGAAATTATGTGTTCTTAAGCCATCGATAAGTGTGCTTAACATGACGTCGTTTCAGGGTTGATTTGGTAGAGGGATGAGGTGCATGTCAGCTGCTGGGCATTGATTGGGATATTAGAATACGAGGGATATTTGAATGTATATTTGTTCGAACAATTATAAAAATTGGATGATAAAATGCTACCTAAATATTCACAGCCTCACGAAAGACTCTGCACTTCCAAATACACCAAGCTTAAACACTGGAATTTTTTTTTCTTGATGCATACTATAGAAATTTTCTATACGCATGCATACTGTTTCCGTACTGTATCCATAGTATGGAAATGGCAACTATTTCCAACAGGAATCGATATTATCTCCATAGTATGTATTTTGAAAAAAATTCCAATGAAATTAGGTATTAGAAATTTTCATCCGTAATGCTCCAAAGCTGAATTGATACTCAAATTTTCACCTCTTCGCACGGAATCGCAGCCCTAAGTAAGATATCCCTGCGAGAATTACCACGGACTGCGTGTAATTTGTCTTGTTTCAGAGTCAGTCCTAGTACACGTGGTTCTTTAAGATTCTCTGACGAAATCAATTACCAAGGTATTTACCCATTTTCGTTTTCTTACTGAAAACCTTCTTATGGTACGTTAATATTTCATCCATTTGTGATGTGTGACATTAAACACATCGTGTTGAAAACGGCCTTTCGAAAATATTGAATGTTGATCAGGTTCAACACAGGGAACGATGGTTAGCAAAAGAGATTCTTCATTCAACCATCGTCAACGAACAAGCTCTCTCACTGCAAGCTTCACAGACTCAGAAGATCCATTTCGATTGTCGTTTGGTGATTTAAAGGAACCTGGGTCAGATTACGAGGTTAGTATAAACACTATTTTGTGATCTATCTATGCACTTCGGATGTTGCCGTGGTGAAACCGTTTGGTATTTCTTTATTTTATTTGCATTTGCATGACAATATTTATACAGGAACATCTAATTTAGCATAAATGCAGCTAACCTGAACACAAGTCCCATTTCGGTCACGTCACCGATTACTTTTAGTGATAAAATAAAAAAATCAAGCTTAATTTCAACTAAGCATCGTGATATTTTCGTATAACTGTCATCTCATTGTTTATCTAATTTACTATTCTTTAGAGATCTTTATCAAACTCCAGACGATCCTCGGTTACAACGAACTTCATGGATGAAGAAAAACGCCGTGAAAAGGAACTGGAAAGAATCTTAGAAAGCAGAATAAATGATCTCCACTTAAGTACGAAAAATATCCTCACAGGACTTCCAAAAAGGTAGAAACATCAACATTGCTTTCACTAGCTTCGATTTTATAAGAATGTAACGTTTTATTAATTATTTAAAACATTTATTTATAAAATATCACTGTGGAGATAATTTTAAGGCTTCATCTAAAATGCGACGGCTGAAGCTACATTAGCGAATACGTAAAATATTTTAAAACTGTAATGAATAAGCTTACATGCAGACATATATGGTTTATATAGTATATAGTATAAGTGCTCGGTTCTGTTTACCACAAACTACAGTGAAAAGCTGCTGACTACGTTTTCATACAACCGACTCCTGGCAAAAACTGACACGTTGATTGAACTGACTTGTTTGCCAAACTCTTTTGGGTCGACTGCATAAATATCGAGGAAAGGTTGTGAATCTGAGTGGGTCTATTGTACTGTGGTTCCTTATACTGTGGTTACGCCATTTGGGGACGACACCCCTTCTGGCCCTTCTATATCACTTGCCAGGCAATTTAATACTTCATGTAAATCCAGGCTCCAGTCGATGCCAATTGCATGGCAAGTCGATCGTGTCGTATCAGGCCGAGTTAGTTTCTATTCCTAAACGTATATAGTATACTGTTCGACTATTACGCGATACTTTATTAGAGACTCATTCTATTTCTTATGCAAGTTTTGATTGACTCTAGGATGATATTTGTATATTTTAGAAATGTACAGTTAGTTATATACATGTTAAGGCATTGTAATGTAATAAGATTTTTTTAACAAAAAATGTTTTGAATTCATATTGAATGAAATTTATATTTCTGATTAATTAAATCAGTTTAAAATCATTTTCAATATAGTTTTAATATGGGACAAAAGTGATTGGGACATTTATCCGTGTAATTTTAATCCGTCAAAGCGCTTTACAAATATTTCCAATACGGTTTAGCTGTTTCTATTTCCTTTACTCCGTACAGTCTTTCGCTACTCATTTTTGTAACAAAAAACAAGCTGCAAGTCTGCGTACCCAAATCGCGTATTGCTCGCATGAAAATAACATGTCGAATTTTGAAGATTTGTCATTTGACACAATGACATGTATAATAAAGTTTACTTGAAAATTTATTACAATAATTAACAAAGTAAATTCTACTGGTCGAGGGATTAATAACAACGAAATTACGTGTCACCGTGGAGCAACATTAATATTTTTAATAGCGGATGTTAGCAGCTGCCTGTCGGCTGAATATCGCTGATGAGACTCGCATTTTTTGTTTTCGAACAATTCCGTATATTGATTGCGAGCGATGTATTTGTTGCCGGTGTGTGGTTAAGAGGTTGCTCTGCAGGATAACAAATCCTAAGTGTGAATCTAAAAATTTATGTAAAGCAGTTTTATTGTGTTCTTGGCATGGCAAGCCATTCACTAGAAATGTACACAAACGATAATCCGTCTCGGGATCATAATTTGAATTTATGATGCTTGAATACAAGGAATTAAGTGATACTATTACAGATACGACAGTCTTTGCAAAGATGACTCAATAGTGTCCTTAATTTATGAGAAATCTGTAACCTAAATAAAATTGATATCCTGCTGAGTTTAAAATAACCATATATGCACAGAGAGTCTTGTGAAAAATGTTGACCGAAGATCTAGCGAGCGTCTACTTCCAATATAAGGTTTGTAATATGAGTGGGTTGCTTAGCAGCTGAATGCTATTATCTTTATTATTGAATTCGTATAGTTTTGTCCAACACTATATATAAGAATTGACATTCACTTAGTATTTTATTCAAACATGATAAATGTGTATTGTATTGCCTGTTTTCAGGAGGAAAATGGACAAAAACAACGGGAAGAATCCGAGTCGTTGAAACCAAAGATTGACGCTTTGCGAAGGAACTTTGAAATGGTAAGAGGGGTTATGGTTGAGATTTGGTTATCCGTGTCAGTTTAGTGCACGCATCGTACGAAGTATTAATTTGTCTTTGTAGTGATGTGAAATTTTCTGCAGAGATCTATATCGAATTATCCATACTGAAAAAACAATCGACGTTTTTAAAGAATATAGAATAGCTACATACATCTAAATCCGTAATTTTTTAATCAGATAAAGTATATAATCCTTCTGCATATACGATATGTTTATAAAAAATCGATGTCATTTTACAATCTTAACTATAGACATATTTTGTTCAGTTTGAACTAAATATATAGCCATGGAAACCATACAAAGTAAACATGCACACCATTCAACTTTTTCTATGGAGATGTGAAAGGACTGGTCTTAGTCTCTCTCCCCTCTTTTCACGTGTACGAACCCTAGCAAAGAATCACTACCGCATTTGAGCATTGAGACTGTCGTATTAAGGCCCACACACACTGGACGCGATTCGCGTTATAACGCGACGCAAATTTTTCATTTGCAGAAGCAAATAAATTCAATTCCGAGAGAGATATAGATACACCAGACCAGTCAAAATGTACTGTCATTCAGGAAGAACGACCAAGAATATCACAGCATTGTCAAAATTAGCAAATTTTGAAAACTGAAAAATTCGTGATATTCCCGTCGCGTTGGCAAATCGCGTCCGGTGTGTGCCGGCCTTTATATATATAACAGAAAAAAATAGTGCAATGGCTGTGTTATACAGTGCCTGTGCGTGGCTAGGCTGTTCACGGTATTAAAAATATACCGGTACTATCAATATAGATCAACATTTTTCGCTGTTTATATGAAGAGAACCACAAAATTTTATCAAAATGAAGGTCATACAACCTTCAATGTCAAGTGGAATTAAAATGTTTTGCAAGTCTAACAGGTGCCTATAACCGTGAACGAACATTGCTCGTTTAAAAAGTTAACTCTTTTTGGAGTATTATATCAGATATTTTGAGGGGATTTTTTCTTTTCAGGCTTGTGCAGCATTCGATTCAATTGTAGATTATGACAATGACGAAGGTTCAGCGAAACGAAGATTGGATGTGGTATTTAAAATATCATTTAACTCGGGGATATTTTTTTAAAAATTTACCCGATTTCTTGATGAAATCTTGCAAAAATGGAAATGTTCCTGCAACTTAACAATAAGGAGCCGTCTTAAATAAAATTACAAGTGTTGTTAATATTTGTATTTTAAGGTGATGGAGCGCCTTCTAAACATCAAGAGCATGTTAAATGTAAGAAAATTTTGAACGAAACAAAGAAATATAAATCTTAATGAAAGGCTGTCTCCTGTGAAATAATCTTAAAAGCAACGAAAAATGTTCCACAACTTAATTTCATGTAGAATTAGCAGTTAGTTTTATGTCATTCATGCAGTTACGTCATTCTTAACCCTGTGATTCTGGATGACACCCTATAGCAACATTCAGGCAACGAGATCAGTAGTAATTAATGTGATTTTCTTATGATTTAAAGGAGAGATCGGATCCTGTAGATTTTCGCTATAGATCATATCAAAACAGATTGTCAGAATATGGTTAGTACTCGTTCACTAATTCTTTGATCTTCAGGTTCAGTTTAAGTATAATTTCGTGAAAATGGTTTTAACCCCTTCTATACTCTTAATAAAAACGTCAGTATTTTAGTGAAACAAAACATTTTCCTGGTTGCTTTGAACAAGTGATTTTTTTCGATAATTACATGCTAAAAACATTTCTCTTTGCAGAAGTAACGTTTGGTAGTCTAATGAACACTTTAACGATCCAAATCGATGATTTCAAAAACGAGGTTTTAGAAAGTATTGAGGTATATAAGACTGCAAATATACTGCATGCTTTTATCATGTACTATATTTTTCAACAAAGAGCTTGCATTGTAGATTGATGTAACTATGATTTCTACTGTTAGAGGCAACACTTTCAAGCTTAGGTGGAAGTGATAATAGAATGAGTACTGATTTTCTCAGCTGTATGTCTTTTCTATATATAGGATGGTCTAAGTAATGCCACGGAAGTTGCAAAAGAAAATCAAGAATTGAAAGGTTGTGTTCTTGACTCTATTAACCACATGCCCAAATGCCATCGTCATCCTCGTGATTTCTGTAAAAACCCATTGTATCTAGTAATTTTACAGTGTGTGCATGGAATTAACTTAAAGAATATTATCGCGCATGCATTTACATATGCTAATAATGTTGCTTACGCCTGCTTCTTAAATTGTTAGTCTTACTGAAACGAGAGAAGGAAGAAGTTATGCATCAACAACAAAGGTATTGTTAATACGCATTTCAACCCTTCGTACTGGCTATAGGAATGGCTGCATGCATGTATTTCACCATTATTATAATGCATGTTTTAGCCACAACTTCGCAGTAACAGAGAAAAACACGATATTAGCGACTTGCAGAAAGTTAGAAGAACAACTTGAAGAGAAGAATAAACAAATACTACAGTAAGTTTCCTCGATTCGTTATATTGGAAAAATGCAGTTTGTTGAAAGGGAATTAAGGAAAGATATCACATTCATCTGTTTTTTATTTCCTGCACTAACTAGACTTACATGTAGTTCTAAGCCCTAGTCAGGTCCAACCCCAGAAGTTTCACTGTTCCAAATGCATGTATAGTTATTCATTCAAGCGGTAAGCGAACTGTTCAATAGGTTGCAAAAGGAGGGTACTGTGACACTTTGGAAGAGAGAAAAGACAAAACTACTTGATGGTATAAAAACGAAGTATGTACGCTAATGTAAAATAATAGTGTTTTATATACGCACAAATGGCATGCTTTTATGCACATTGCTATTTGTTGTTAATCTGATCTCTGCTCGATGTACATGCGTGATTTATTTCAAAAGGGAAGTTGATCTATCTAAAGAGTTGGAAAAGACACAAGTGGAAGCATCTGGAACTAAGGAAAGGCTGCAACGACGGATTGTGGTATGGTCATTGTTTCTTAATGATCACCAGTACCTTGTTATAATTGCAGGAATGTGAGTCGAGAATTGGTTGCAGTATAGCGCAATATCTCTGACTCACCACCTCCCTGAAGTATAAATAGAAAGGTTGCGTATATTAAAAAAAGTGAAAATGTCAGCATGATGAAAAACGGCCTCAGAATTCTTTTCGTTAGTACTACCTTGTTACAAGGATTAAACTTGATGAATGTGATTTTTGCAATCTTCATGACAAAGGTCAACACCCCTATGAACCCATCCCGCCTATAAAGCCATCACTGACTCGAACAGCTTTCGAGAACTGATTTATCGACGGATATTTCCACTAAATCGTGGAACGAAATAAGTATTCCTGTGTAACAAAGTGTTCCTATATCACACGCATATAACCACGCCGCTTGTGAATATTTTCTAGGAATTGACTGGTCAAATAAAGTTATTGAAATTAGAAAAAGAATTAGGAGGAAAACTAGGAACTGGTCTGGATCATGAAAATGGATGTAAGTTAAATAGACATAGTATAGCCATATGTATAAGTTAACACTATTGAGATTTATGAATTATAATGTTTGCGAAGCATTCATCTGATAGCCCTCCTCCGCTTGTGCAGTTGTGCGCAAATTAACCCACTATTTTAAACACATGATTGTGAAACGTGAAATGTAGGCTATTTAGAGCACGTGTTAAAGCACGTGTTAATCTGGAAAGGTTTATAGCTGTCATTGCATGGATAATGAAATTACCTTCCTTTTGCATGGGTCGCTACAATCAGTACAATAGTCTATATATAGTGATAATAGTGATGTTGTGAGTAAATAAAGTTATATAAGGCAATCTCCCATTACAAACTCGTACCGAGCGTCTGATACGTACCCCAAAGTCATAAACACATGCTGATGTGTAGATGTTATCCATTTCGCCTGCTTTATGAGATGCTTTTCATTTTACTATATATAGAATCTGATAGCAGGGTATAATCTATCACTATTAACATTTTAAAGCTTCAACTCCAGATGTGGATAATAACTCGTTGAAGCAGCAGCTATACCGAAAAGAACGAGTGAGTTTTTTATCATCCTGCAAGTAATTAAATTATTTGAATCATCCCTCTAAATGCTTTGTCACTACCCTACAGCGAAATATAGATCGCAGTTACATGCAGTGTAAGGCTGCATTGTTTTGTTTACATATTACCTAAGCATTATACCATGCTGCATATTAAAAATATGCAGCATATGGTAATGTATGACAAATAACAAATTGGTTTATGTATTTAATGCCTGAAATTCTTGTTTGAATTTTTACACCCAGGCTCTCGTAATGGCTGAGGCCGAGCTTCAAAAGCAACAAAAATATTTTATCGGATTCATCCATGGCTTACAACGAGACCTCATGTAGGTTCCTTTATCTTTGTCATTTTAGTCAATTTTCGTTAAATGTTTTTTTTGGGTATAGAGAAAAAATGTATGCCATCATTTTTCGGTAGAGCAATATATTACCGAATTCTCTCTATCCTCAGGGGCAACTGTTCTCTTAGAATCTTTGGAGGGTAGGGGTGGATTTGAGAGGGGGTCATATTGTGTGGGATGTTATTTATCTATGAAATCTTAAATAACTTCGGCAAAATATAACGAGTTATTATAAATAGATTTGGAATTAGAAATTTAGACTCACAATTTTATATTTTTTAAAATTTCATAAAGAGACATGCTTTTTAAACGTGGTTGTTCTTCATTATGTTTTGTTTCGTATCTAAATGTGATCATCATCTATAATGTTTTTTCCTTACATTTGTCAGTATTTAGAACAATCGTTATTATCAAATTGGTTAATATGCCTCATTGTGTTTAGCTAATATTTTATTCTTCGTTTTCGTCTAATAGTATAATGCTCGAAAGGGAAGGCAAGAAAACGGAAAATTACTCTAGAGATAACAAAGCTTACATGAACATGTTAAAAAGAATATACACTGCCGCTAAAGAAGGTGAGTTTAATGTTCCAAAAGGATAAAATGAATTGCACTACCAATCAAGAAGCCCTTTTCACAAATACATCGTGTAGTACAAATCCAGGACTAAGTGCAGGAGCGTTAACTGAATCCCAGCTTGCACGAACAAATCAGTATTTTGTTGTTGTCTTTGAAAATCGAGTAATTCTGTACGTCAATAGCAGTTCTTTACTGCATGTATACGTTCTTTGAATTAGTTCTTTACTGTGTATGATGGCTTTGTGCTTGGTTGGAAATATACGTGCAATTTCGTATCAATGCATGGTCCACTCCGGTGCTGCCGCATAATCATCAATTCAGGCTGACCGAAATTCAAATCACTGAATGAAATGCTCCGTAAAACCCATGCGCCAATTTAAGTCCTCTCTATTTGTCAGGAGAATTATCAGATCTGAAAGCCAAATTACCAGTGCATTATCAAGGAGTTCACGAGGTACGTCATGCGGACCTTCTATCATTTCTGTTTAAAACTATATTAATAGCGCTTTTTCTGTTTGGAACAATGCATGTTGATGGCAGACTGCAGGGCCTTTAACAAATGAATATACATGAAAACATAATAGTAAGGATACAGTCAAAATATGATTTAAGTTAAATATTTTGAATATTTACTTAAATGGCGGTTATTAATTATATATATAAACACACTTAAATGGCGGTTATTAATTATATATATAAACACCATTTTACCCAAACCCTGGGTACGAGGTTGCATTTCACCACTTAAAGTTTCGTATTTATTATTCGCGGGCATATATGTAGACAAATTATGCATGCCGACCGACAAAGGCTTGTTTCAACACTTTCTTTCCTTCATTGCGAAGCTTCTCATTCTTCCAGAAGAAAATAAGACAGTTAAACGTTGAATTCACACCAGCTGCAGTTCTTGCCCACTGATTAAGAATTATTAAAGTATCATTATCGCATAATGACATAGCATTTAAACCATAATATACCATAGCTGGGAGAGAGCAACAGCAAAAACAACAAACAGCCAAAAAGCAAGTAGAATTACGTTTTATGCCCACATAACGACTTTTGTTAAATATTTTCCTTGCCCCCTTAGCTATGATAAAGATTTTGTAGTTCATATAGAAGGTCACGATATAACTTGTGCTAAAAAACACACTGGTTATCACATAACCAGGAATTGGTCGAGTTTTTGCGATTGTTGGTCCAACTACATTCAGTAATTGCATTATGATCATAATGGTAAATAATCGTAGTTTGGTCACTGACGTATAGTGAAAAAGAGGTCGATACGTGGCCAGAAAGCGATCTATGTTCATTGTCACGAGCGATGAGAATGAAAAAACATATAAAATGCGGCTTATGTATCTAAAAACATCCAATGCTTTGTCTTTGCGAGCCGCTTGCCAGTCAATTGAGGCGATTGTCGTCCAAGGATGTGTGATGGTAACTACGGCCAGGTCAATACAAGATTGAACAAATATCCCATAATAGTATGTTTTCCTGCTGGACCCTAATGTCTTCCATAGACTGAGTATTACCACAGAATTAAGAAATATTCCAGCAACTGCGAAACACATATTCACAGTACACAGCAACACGATGTTGATAACTATACCATCCATTTTCATAAAAAACTCGTCATCCTAGCGCATGTGTATGCAATTCTGCTCAATTCCTAACACGCGGCATATAAGAGAAAACGCCGGGAGCACAGACACATACACTATATGCAGAAACACGATTTATATGCAAATGTCGATCAACATCAGATAAGACAATGTTGTTTAAATTAAGTGTTGATTAACTCTTTGTTTTTTCTCCTCCAACATATACAAGGCGTTCCTAAAAAGCCTGGTTTTCATAGCTATAACATAATTCGTCGTAATTCACGTGTCGTAATTTGTTGTAATTCGGCAATTGAAAAGAAAATCGAACGAAAAATTTCGTTCGGTCCAAAAATTCCGTCTAGTGAAAAACCGGCCAAAAATTGCCTTATATAAACGTATTATTTACAAGCCCAAATTTTCATGTAAACGAGTCTAAAACTGAAGCAATAGCAAATCTTAAGAATTTTAAACACGTTAATTGTAAAATATTATAATGTATGCGCTCATGAAAAATCTTTGTTGTTGAGATATAAAAAATTCCATTTATTTATCAGAGATAACGAAATATTAATCATTGTCATTGAAATGGATTTGAATACACCAGAAAGAATGGCAGGTGCTTTGCTTCATGAATTAATCTATTGCCGAGCCAAACTTCAAGGACCACCAGCTTATATACGTTGGCTTCATCAACATTTCCCATTAAAACTCATTGATTTTGCCCTGCCATGCTCTTTTCTATGATTTACTATAAGAAAGTATTCCCTACTTTGCAATTCACCAAAGTAATTATAGAAATTTAATTAGGGATGAATATAGTATATAAATTTTGAGGAAAGTTTTGAAAAAGCTTCGGAGAAAGATTTTGCATGCGAGATGCGGCTTTGCATGCCTTGTGGGTGTATTATCCAAATCCTATCCTTTTGCAATCCTAATCCCTGTGCAATTTAAATTGCGAAAATTAAAATACGCGCAATTTAATATTTCACTAGGATTCCCTAAAACATCCACTTGGTAAAAGATTGACAAAATCGATGTCCGAGCTCAATAGGGAATATTATGAATTACAACAGAGTGGAGCGTAAGTATGGACTATGGAGGTTTTGAGTGAGAAGCTTTATTGATCTCGATGTCATATTGGACTCTGAACGTTGTGTTTGAAAATCCCAACATTATTCATCGTATATCTAGTAGATGGAATATTAACTGGGCTGGTGGTTTGCATTTGAACTTCATGTCCTAGGTATCTTATAGGTGTTCTATAAAATCAAAGCGTAATATTTTCTCTATAAAAATTTGTCGATGTGCGAGATTATATTTTCTGTAGTGTTTGTTTCCTGGATCAATCTATTTCAATTCAATCATATTCGCGCGGGATTTCGATTTGATATCCGTATCCACAGTCGATCGGGAACTATTTAGTAGTGCGAGTATGATGATTTCAATTGGAACAGATCACAAACGTAGCGTAATTTTATATTCTTAGTATTTATGATCCTACGTTAATGAAACCATCATTGAAAAAGTGGAGGGACGCAAAGTCAGCTAATGAGAGACCGAATCATTCACAAAGTAAGATGGGAGCCTAATACAAATTTCCCTTTTTTCTTTCCTTTAACCCTTTCACAACTTTTCAATGGCCTAGAAACTAGCTGAAGGAAAAATGATAATCCAAATCAGTCGTGTCATGACACTTACAACCTTTCATTTACTGAATTTTATCGTTTGTAGCCTATGGAGTTCATCCTATACTTGTTGATATCGCGACGGGGACACTTCTAACAAGTCAGGCTATCAATTTTTTTCCAGAATGGACCGAAGACGATGTAGGTCAAGCAATCCATTGACGTAACCACATACTTCCTGAACATACATACTTTACTGAACGACCAAAGTCGGTCCGTTATTTCCACTACTTTCATTTATCCTCCCATTTTAGATCAAAGAAATGTTTGAACAGTTTCGAAAGTTCGATGCAAATAACGACTTTCACCTTGATCCCGACGAGGTATACGAATTTGTATATGAATACTTAAAAAGAAGAAGCTCGAACAACGAGAATATTTCTTTTTAAATAGTTACTCAAAGCAATTCCTGATATACTTGGAAGAATGACAACCACGGAAGAAATACAAGTTAGTTGTACCACAAACTACTTTTATAAAAGCATTTTGAGTTATCGTTCATATTGTTCTCTTCAAACACCGATTATTCATACCTCCGTAGGAAGCCATGGATGAAATTGACAATGATAATTCAGGAACTATCGATTTTTTTGAATTTTTAACCGTAGCAAGACTTGTTACACAACAAAAAGGTAAGAATAGGAAAATAGTCAAAATACTAACATTATCTGTTAAACATACGAATTATATCGAGAAAAGCCTGATTTAAAAATTGCAAATTTTTGGATTACGGAAAAAACGCACGATGAGCGCCGGAAGTTACAGACCCAGCTAGGGAAGTCACAGTCAACTGATACGACTTTTCACGACTTAACACCATTTCTACCTAATCTGCCGGGGGTTGTTTCGGTGCCTAGATATTTTTTTTTTTTTTAACTTTCAGGGAAGTCTGCGATCTTTAAAAAGAAGAGGCTCACTGCTCTGCAAAAGTCCTCACAGGCCCGTTCCAAGATATGTGTTATTCAATGAAATGGCTGTTATAGCTTAGCTCTGTTGAATGTGTAAAATAATTGCCCTAGAGCTGTAATAACGTCATTTTCGTTATTGTATTGTGGCTTTCAAAGTCTTTCATGCATATATATGTTGAAGAAAGATGTTTTGCTTCTTTGTGGCACATGGCTCAGTTTCACGAGAGTAAAACTTGAAATACATCTCATGCGTTGTCAAATTTAAGTAATATAAACTATTTTATTCACCCAATAAACCGTTAATTAAAAAATATCTGTGGAGTGATCATTCTAAAGTAGTTTGCTGACTTTGCTTCAGAAATTCGCAGCCGCGCACTTCACCCGCATGTCTTCACTAGTCTTAATACAACATGGACGGAACAGAATCATAGATCTCCGATTATTTCTTATAATTTTTACTTGATGAACGACAGTAAAAATCGCAGTGCATTTAAAAATAATTATTGGCGAAGATTTTGCATGGGTATGGTTACCCGACCCCATAATTTTCGAATACGGATTAATTTTAATACGGATTTACGTTATAATTAGCTATGGAATTAATGCCGCGCCGGACGCTGAGGGACTCGGGCGACTATTAAGCGTAATTTAAAATTTGTATTTGCGTCGAAGAATGGTTCAAAGAAAAATACAAATTATAAATAATAATACTAATACAGCAATTCTGTAAAATTATGTGTAACTTTGGACTATGCAAATATGAAAAAAAATGTTTCGGATTCGAAAAATTGTGTTCCCACACCGGGAATCGAACCCGGGCCACGGCGGTGAGAGCGCCGGATCCTAACCACTAGACCATATGGGATTTCACATTTTAACTATGAAATTTAAAAATTATAAAGTAATAATCTACGAACATTTCATTGATTATCGAGATATTTATCTATTGTCATATTGACTGAAATAGAAAGTAGAAGTGACAGGGTAGAAAAACCAAAGATTACTTTCTGAATCCAACAATATCTATTATTGACTATAGCCGTTGGACCACTGTTGGACTCTGGGCAAATGAGAATGTGTTCATATATGTCAGTATCACAGTATGAGCAATTATGACTTATGAGCATGAAATCATGTGCTTGCTCATCGCACAACTGATTGCAACACGACATGCCATTACTTTCTAAGACTAAATCTCAATAACCTAAGCCTTACGGGCGATATGTAGGGCTGATGGTCTAGTGGTTAAGACAATGGTCGTGCAAGGGTTCGAATTAGAGCAAAGATTAGATGTCTTTCATTACGACTAAAAAAAGGTTAGCAGTAGCACAAATTACACTGAAATAATAATAGTTAGCCGAATTTATATTACAAGACGGATTTCCGTCTGAGACGCAAAACTCGACGCAGGCAGACGGGTAACTCGTCTTGATACCTGTGCTCTCTTCGTGGACGACATTTTGTATCCCAATATACACCGCGAAGCTTAACTACCAGGGGCCGGTTGTTGTTCGAAAGGTGGATAAGTCGCTATCCAACGGATAAGTCGCTATCCAACGGATAAGTTTTATCCAGCGTGTGATTTGCGTTGCACGAAGCTTGGATAACTTTATCCAGCGGATAAAAATCGCTATCTACCGGATAAATTTATCCAAGGTCTGTACCTTATACGCTGTTACTATACGCTTCTAATCAGTTTATAAACGCGAATATGCAAAGAAAGATTCAACCTATTCCAAGGAAACTTGCTAATATCTAAGTAATTTCATTCACGAACACTAAAATAGTGTTCCTAAATTTGCTATGGAACCGAATAGCAAAGCGCTGCAAGGAGCAAGGTCAAGGAATAAAATTGCAATGTGTTTAATTAATAAAATCCGACTATGATGTGAAGTGCAATGTTCCAGCAAATCACTTGTTCAAGTCTTTTCCATTCCGTAACTATACTCGAGAATTCGTAATGATTATGAATTCAATGTTGTAAATGCTTAGCAACAGCTGACGTTGTGGTACGAAATTTCAGGATAATCCTGTTTTCTTCCGGTAAATTTTAACTTATCTATTGGATAGCTATCCACTTCACTATCCACGCTTCGTGCAACGCGTTTTCATCCACTGGATAGCAGATTTATCCGTTGGATAGGACTTATCCGTTGGATAAGTTATCCATCTTTCGAACAACCGGCCCCAGTCTTTTATTTCTATTTCATAATTCGGCTAATCCGCAAATTTGTGAGCTGTACCAGCGGCAGCGGCACCTTAGTAGACGGCAGCGGCACCTTAGTAGACCTAGTACCTTAGTACTGTAGACCTAGTGGTGAAAACTAAACTTATTCGAAAATTGCTAAACCAGCACCTTGGCTAAACTTATTATGTCCGTAACCCGTGGGTAGTCGTTCAATGGTTCCAGCGCCATTAAAGGTTTAATTCAAAATTTTCATTGTTAATGATTCATGGTAAGATTAGGTTGAATAATTAAATTGAATAATTTTACAACTTAAATTCGTGAGTGACCGGATGGCCATAGGCATAGGATTGTTTCACTGAATCAGCACAAGAGAGATGGAACGGAACCCTCGGTTCTTACGAGAACCTACGAGATTGTTTGCCACATGAGACTCTTGTTTTTGAGTACGTATTAAAAAGCCCATGTCGCGATTTTAAAACTCCGCAAGATAGACCGCAAAGGCTAAAGCTATTTACTCACATGCAAATGCAAAGTTTATTCATACATCAGCAACGTGCATTAGTTACGTTCCTCGGGTGGTTAGTTACTGTAACTAGTATATGGCAGGTTTAAAAACATCGTGAGCCTTAATGCGACGCCTCAATAGACAAATTGAACTGATCACATGAAGTCTAATTTACATGTAGAGCTCGCAGTTGAATCTCTAAACTTTACTGTGAACCTATACCGTTTACAGGACAACCAGGCATTACCTCTTCCTACACGTACCATTTGTACGTCTAATAACCCCCAAGAGAGACTTGGTCTGCCAAATCTCTGTAGGCCTTTTCAATAAAGCAAAGGGGCCCGGGGCAAATCGTGTGAAATTACATCCTAACCCTGCATGCACATTTTCTTTACCACCAGGCAACTCTAACCTGCAACGATGTAGGGGTACATCGCCGTTACGCTGCTATTCGGCGTCGTTTCGCACTCGTTTTGTGTCGTTTTAGCGTCTTTTTGGCGTCGTCCTGGCTCGTCAGGTATAGCTCAACGGAGCGGTGATCTTGTATAAAATCTCGTAAGCCTGAAATGGGATCAAGATGAAAATAAACTATAAAAAACACGTATGAGATCGCTTTTTTATTATTTGGTGAGATTGAAGAATTATACAAATACAATTAATAAATGACATAAAATATGACAATAGGGCAAGGAAGCTCTAAGCCTCTAATATTATCGAGGGACCGCAGCGTGACGAAAAAAACAACTTCATATTAAACAAATTTCTAGTCCATTGTTAGCGGTACTATAATACAGGTTGATTTAATAAAATTGAGTTCTAGAGTACAAAGGTTCTATACTTTCGGTATAGGACGCAACTATGACTTCAGGGGCAGGTTGTTCTGAAAAGCCGGTTAACTTAACCCAGGGTTAACGCAAATTTTAATATCAATTTTTTTATCGCTTGTTTATAATTTTTTCATGAATATTTTCTGCTTCAATAGAAATCATACTTTGTAAAGTTTTAAAATAAGCGGCGGTGCAGAAACACGTAAAATAAAACAGCGGATTAAAATTTTACCCAGCCGGTTAGCGCTAAACTAGCTTTGAACAACCGGCCCCAGATATTTTACTTCTTTTGACTCAGAGTATAGCAGCCTTTGCAAACAAAATATACGACTATGCATGCACTTTGCTGTTGTGTATATATAGATCATAGACGAGATCTATAAAATTCCAGTGAATATTTATTTTATACAATCAGCCGTAGGCGTAGGAGTTAAATCGCAAACTTCCCTTCGTTCGCTTTATCTATAATGTTTAATTCTTTATATCTATACTATTAGGTATAAATGCTTACATTTATTATAAACAGGTTCATCGACTCGTCGTTTAAATGGCTTTAATTTGACTCAATAAATCTCGCAAAACCTAAAACAAAACATAGGTAATTCTCGTTATAGACGGTGACCTTGAGACGTTCTTCTGATAAGCTAGGTCAGTTGGAAGTCAAAGATAGAACTTTCTAGAAATTGAAGAGAATGTTAGTGGCTATAGCCTATAGAATGCGGTTAGATTGCGCGACATCCAAACTCCTGCAAATTCACATTTAACGTATACTTTACCTTTATTTATTTCACCAATAAGTTCTGGGGAAAAGTTAGATCATGCTCTCTCTTCAAAATGGAGTTATCTTGAGCCATATCGTTCATCAATAACTTTTTCACCAATTGCATCGTCTAGCTTGACTTTAAACCTTAAAGTCGTTGCAACTCTGCGCACGGAAAGAATAAAAAACAACGTTAGTGTTATAAAAGAATTTTCAAAGCGAACACACGCATGGTAAACACACATCTTTAAGGGTCGTCACATGCATGCACGAGGTAAATTTTGACGACATAGTCAAGGCCGAATATTCACGCAAATCTCGAATAAAGCGAGCAGGTTTGCATTAATTGCATATTACCTGTTTTTATACAAATACTAAACCTCGCTTTTCTAAAACGACGGAAAATTATATCAATTTAATCGAAATTTCTAAGCAATAAGTGACTTGTCTCTATGCTTCGAAGACCAGTGCCCAAGTCATGCATGCCTCAACTTTGCCGGCTAAATGTTTTACATATTGCTCCTCGTGTTAGGAATAAAGAATGCCATTGGCTAAAAAAACCCAGCCTAACAGCTCAACTGGCTTCTGATTGGATAATTTTTTAAATATAATTTGATTAATTCCTCTCCAGAGAAGAACACGTATAAAAAACAATAGATAATCATTCCATGGAGACCATTTAAGTCTCTCCTAGTAAATAATCTATGTTTGCGCACCCGACTTTATTCAAGCCGCGTTTACACAACGTTTTTGACCTGGCCTGGACCAGGCCTAGGCCTAGATGTGAACGGTGTTTATCCGGCCTAGACCAGGCCAAGCCTGGACCTGGTCTTAGTCTGGTCTAGGCCACAAAATCCAGGCCAACAGCAGGTGGCCTGGTCCACGCTTGGACCTGATCTGGGGTAAGATTTTGGTAATGTGAACAGGCTTTACCTAGTCCCGGCAAATTTTGAACTTAATAGTATGATTTGTATAGATTACATATAGTATTACCACTTTTTCGCGTGTTTCAGTTAGTTTTTTTTCCAAGTATTTTGTCAATCCAATATCATATCAACGTGTGAACGTGACATGCACATCATATTACCTAGACTTGTCCTAGTCCTAGGTCTGAAGTGTAAACGCGGCTTTAGACAATTGTGCCGATTACAAGCATTAAATTCTAGGGACCAAAAACGTCTTTTCTGTTGCCTTTATAAGCAAGCAATGGCAATGCAACTTATTTAATTACTGGATTTATGAAATATCCTATTCCCAAGATTTTGTAAAAACCAACCTCGCAAACTGGAGTGCGCATATTCTACCTGCGTCTTGTTATAATTCTGTTTCAAGAACCCAATGCAATTTTTTAGAGTGTGTTTCAATGGCGGCCTTCCTAGAACTGGAATGCCTCTGAATGCTCTTCGTAGATCATGTAACGCAAGTAATACAATTTTAAACCGTGGCATCCCAAAAAGTCACATATACCGGCTCCAAATTTCAAAATTGTCACTGGGGAAGAATCCCCAAAGCGCACAAACGTAAAACCCAGGCAACGCCACTCGAGACGACGTTGCAGTATTAGATAGCAGGGAATCGCGAGGAAAAGCGGGACCCGGGGCCTAGTGTACCTGTATGGGGAGCTACTAAGCAATACTTTATTCCCTAAAAAAAGTACACGTCTGAACCAAACAGATACAACAATTGAGGCTTTTTATTTTTAGAAAAATCTTTTTTGATTCATCATTTTAGCAAAAGGATGTTATTCAACAACAACAATACCAAGCAAACCAATACAAATTATCTCATTCGCATTCAGTTGATATAACATACTCAGTCTGCGCCACTTCAATATTCTCTCCTGTCTCATACTGGACTGTACATAACACAGTTTGAGAATTCCCCGCACCATCAGGATTTTCTACAGTTTTAGTATCACTGTTCGTCTCGACGTTGGTCTCGCTGTCATATTCCACCGTAGTATCTTTGGTATCCGTCTTTTCGTGATCTTCGAATATATGACAGTTATACTGACGAGCGGTAGTAAATGCCTTTCCGCACGATTCGCAGTTATAAGGCTTATCACTATGAGTCTTTAAATGAGCCAATAACTTTGCTTTCAAATCAAATCTGTTACCACATTCATAACAATGGAAAGGTTTATCCCGCGAGTGTATCTTAAAATGTCGGTTTAGATCACCAGATTTAGTGAAGCCACGTTCACAGACCTTACATTGGAACGGTCGTTCTCCAGTATGCATTCTTTTGTGGACAATCAGGCTGGATTTTTGTGTAAACTGTTTTTGGCAAACATCGCATGTGAAAGGTTTCGACCCCGCGTGGCTCCTTAAATGTCTATCAAGGTTACTCGATTCCGCGAAAGATTTGTCACAGTTACAACATTTATACGGCTTTACACCATTATGAGTGCGCATATGAACTGCGAGGTTAGACCTATAACGAAAAGTCTTTTTACATTCTGCACAAACAAATGGTCGTGCTCCTGAATGAATTCGAGCATGCGCTGTAAGATGCGTCTTTTCACGAAACGTCTTTCCGCAAACCTCACAGGGGTAAGGCCTGTCTGCTGTATGAACTCGAAGATGACGCTCTAAATAGCTATATTTTGAGAATGATTTATCACAGTTCAAACATTTATAAGGTCTCTCAGAATTATGCAACTTCATATGAACAGTTAAACTGCCTTTATATTTCATTTTTGCTCCACATTCTTCACAAGAATAAGGTCTGGAACCATTATGCCACTTTACATGAAGATCGAGATGTTCTTGTTGATCAAAAGACTTTGTACACAAGGTGCATTTGAATAAACCTGGTTCTTCATTTGTTGACATGCTTACTAGCGAAAACCAAAAGTAAAAAAGAACAATTTTAAACAGCAATACTATTTGGAACCTCCATGATTCTAGAGCAGTGCTCTCACTACTAACTATGAAGGATATTGTTGAAAGAGTGGTCAGTTAGCTAAAACCTCATACTTATATATATTACAATTTTCAATGTATCCAGGCAAGCACCTCAACCAAGAAATATTTAAACAATATAATATGCAACCAGCAAGATTTTGTCATAAAAGCATGCTAATTACACCTGTGCAAGGATATTTAAGTCAGTGGTCCAACTTTGGTTGTTCAAAAAAGTAGTCGCATGTTGAGTGCAAGTATGGAATAAAAGGAGTTAGGGCAGGCAATGGTTTGTTTTTGGATAAATTAGAGTTAAAAAAATGGAATTAGAGAAAAGCCTATTTTCCACTCTGTTGGCTCACACAAAAAGTAGTAGGAAAGTAGGAAATAATACATATTCAGATATTCTCGATAATTTTTTTCCAGCTACAAATCATGTTACCTACAAATTTTTAGTTTCAATTGATGTAAATAATAATTCAATGAATGTAAGTTACCAATATTTTAGTTTTGACTGATAAAAACAGGACTTGATTTTCAGTTTGGCTACACCACTGGGTGTAAATATCTTTAGCACACAATCAGGGTTGTAAGATATTGATTTTGTCACTATTTCTGGCACTGACACTATTCAGCTAACTGCACTAAATGAGTAGGACCTTATAAAATTATCCAAAATCTCTGAAAACTGCCTAAAGTCTCAGTGAATATTTTATTTATAACAGTTTGTTTAATAATCAAAGGCCAAACGTCTGATTTGTCCAAGTAAAGACCCAATAAGTAATAAAATAAAAGTAGTTAGGTAACTTACCTAGATTATATGCACCATAATACAACGTGGTTATAATGTTTTTTAAAAATAATCCTGGAAAATCAGTTTATCAAACCTTTGTAGTAATAAATTTCTATAAATGCTAACATCACAGTTACGTGCTAACATCAAGTACTGTCATCTTGCATGCTTCTACCGCTGGTCTAAGTATTTGGCGGTTTTGGTTCCCGGATGAAAAATCCTTCCTTTATCCAAAATCCAAGTATCACAGTGAATTACAGAGAAAAAGGAAGAGCGGAGAAGGTTGGTAGATCCTGTGAATCGCTTTGAGAAGATCGTCTTAACTTTTGAAAAATAAGCTTGTAGTAGAAAGAGAACCTATCTAAACCGCAAAAGAAGAGTGAACATGAGTTCAGATCTTGATTTTAGTGACGAGGATTCTACTCCGGAATCAGAAACGTGGGATGAAACATTTTCAAAACTAATAAGTTCTAGTTTGGACATGTTGACTGAACAAACAAGCGGACATTTCTACATTTGTGACATATGTAAAGCGAAGTTTGCAGGCCAACAAGCCTTGGCGGCTCATCTCAAATCACATGCTGAATCAAAATCTCCTGATAGTAATAGTGTGTGCCATAAATGCGATATCTGCAGTAAGGCCTTCTCATCTTCAAGTGACTTACACGATCACAAGAAAGGACATGCAGAAGAGTTTTTGTCACAACATGCCTTGGATTCCCACATGGAAAAACAAAGTAAACAAAGCAATTCATTTAAATGCAGTACATGTAACAAGAGTTTTGCAAGGGCTTGTGACTTGAAAATACACACAACAAAAGCACATGCTAGTGATGGGGATCATCAGTGTGACCTTTGTGAAAAACGTTTTTCTTCTCGAAGTGGTTTAAAATCTCACAAAAAGGTGCATTCCCAAAACAACACGCACTCTAAGAAAAAAAAACTGAAGTGTAAAGGATGTGATGAGAAATTTTCCACACAAGAAATGCTACAGTCCCATTATGATACGAGTTTAGAATGTAAAGAAAAGTCTTTAAAATGTGTCCCATGTGATGTATTATTCTTAACGTCTGATGAATATGAAAGTCATATGAAGGCACATGAAACTAATCGCGATAGATGTTTCCATTGTGATCGGTGTGAAAAATCCTTTTTTAAACCAAGCTATTTAGCAGCTCACAAGAAAATTCACTCAGGTGACCGACCATATAAATGTGGTGTTTGTGAGAAAGGGTTTTCACGGTCAAATGATTTGATATATCATTTAAGAGTACACACTGGGGACAAGCCATTTAAATGTGATAGTGATAGCTGTGGGGCAGCATTTTATAGAGCAAGTGATTTGAAATATCACAAAAACATGCATTTGGAAAACAACCCAAACTCATGTGATGTTTGTCTAAAGACGTTCCCAAGAGGACAAGATTTAGTTGCTCATATGAGAAAGCACACAGGTGAAAAACCATACAAATGTGACATTTGTGGTACGGGATTTGGACGTAGTAGTGACATGAAATACCACAGGAATACCCAGCACGCTGATCCAAATGAAAAATCTCATAAATGTGACATCTGTGACAAAGCATTTATAAATTTTAAAATGCTGACAAATCACAAGAAAACACATAATGTGGAAAAGCCTTATGGTTGTGATGAATGCAATAAGAAATTTTTAACCTCAAGCCGTCTTGCATCTCATAAGAAAACACATTCTGGAGAAAGACCGTACCAATGTGATATATGCGAAAAAGCATTTTCCAGGTCACATGATTTGGTTATTCACACCCGCTTGCATACTGGGGAACGTCCTTACAAATGTGATACTTGCAACAAGGCCTTCCCAAAGTCAACACAGTTAAAGTATCATAAGAGGTTGCATACTGGAGAAGACATGCATAAATGTGATGTTTGTGAAAAGGCATTTTACAACCCTAGTCTTTTGAGGTCACATAAAGCAATTCACAGTGGAGACAAGCCTCATAAATGTGATGTTTGTCAAAAGGGATTCTTGCGAGCACATGATTTAGTTCATCATAAACGTACACATACTGGTGAACGACCTTATCAATGCGATGTTTGCAACAAAGCTTTTATCAAGTCCACCATGTTAATGTATCACAAACGAACACATACTGGCGAAAATCCTCACAAATGTGATATTTGCGACAAGAAGTTTATGATTCCATCAAATTTGGCGGCACATAAGAGAATGCATAACAACGAGAAGCCTTTTGAATGCGATATTTGTAAAAAAACATTCTCTAAAAGATGGGACATGAATTTTCACAAAAGGTTACATTTGGACGTTAGACCTCACAAATGTGATTCCTGTGAAAAATCGTTCTCAAAAGCAAGCGAGTTAACTTATCACACGTATACACACACTGGCGTTCGACCACACAAGTGTGATCTTTGTGAAAAGTCGTTCATAAAACCATCGCATCTGGTTAGTCATAAACGAACACATACAGGAGAAAAGCCCTATCGTTGCGACATTTGTGAGAAAGGATTTACAAGGTCTAGTGATCTGAAATATCATAAGAAAACACATTCTGCGGATAAGCCATGTGTTTGTGAAACATGTTGCAAAGGTTTTTATGATCAAAAATCTTTACGTCGACATGTAAAGAGGATGCATGACAATGGCACCAAAGAGTATAAATGTCAAACGTGTGCAAAGGAGTTTTCTAGTGCTGGTGAGTTGCGTAGCCATGGACAAGTTCACAGAAATGAAAAACGTTATAAATGTGACGAATGTGACAAGGCATACACCAGAACAAGTGACCTGAAAATTCATAAGAGATCGCATACCGGAGAAAAACCATTTAAATGTGATGTTTGTCAGAAAGCATTTCCAAAAGCAAGTTACTTAGTGGAACATAAGAAGACACATTCACAGAAATTCGAATGTAATGTTTGCAAAAAGGAATTCAGTTTTGCCAAAACATTGAAAAAACACAAGTGCAAGGGTAATGATAGTGAGTTAGGAGCATGTTCGGATTTAACTGAAATCCAATTTGTTTGTTCCCAATGCGGCACCAGTTTTGACTCAAATAAGAAATTGAACAATCACATTAAACAATCTCATCCTTGACTGGTTCATATATCTAACAAGGGAAATTTATATTGTGGCTTATGATTATAGTTTAGCTACGTTCCTAATTTTTTTCTAAATTAAATTGTTTGTGGTATCTGTTGGAATTGCGAAATAATGTTACTCTATTAACCTGGGCCTTATCTGAAAGCCTATCAAGGTTTCAATGTCTTCATTATGACCAATACGTAGGAAATCCTGATAACGAACAAAATACGTAATCAAGCCAAAAGACAGAGTGCCCTCTTTTGGGCTTCAATTTGAATATGTTTTGTAATGAAACCAGACTGCTTCCATTTGAGATATTTTAAGATACTATCTGTTCATGGGAATTTCTTTGTACACTTCCTTCAGGCCTATCTCTGACAAGTTCCGTGTTAGTATAGCCTAGTTTTCTACCACGTTACTAGCGTTCGCGCGAGGCGATATTTTGCTTTTTTAGAGCCCTCAAATGCAACTATCAGGAACGAATTCCCAACTTTTTATTTTCCTAATTTTTGTTTTCCGCGGCTGTAAATAAGGACCGCGGACCCTTAAGACGAAAAAAGACGATTCTTTCTTGTAAGAAAATAGTAGTTGAAGACTTGAAGACAAGCATAACACCGTAAATTATTCGTCGAGAAAAAACCATTTGTTTTGATAAATCTCGTAATCTGAATCATCACTATAAGCAACACTACACGAAGCTTTGTTTTGCTGGCTATTTAGCTATAAGCCCAGAAGCCGGTTGTTCAAAAGCCGGTTAGCCTGATAATCTTGGGTTAATGCAAATCTGCAAATTGAATTTTCGAGCTGCTTATTTCAAAATTTGTCAAGTTGCGCGGAATTTTTTCAGGTTTATCCTATATATTCTGGTGTAATAGAGGTTTTATTTTCTAAGCTATTGATATGAATAGCTATGCGGAAATAAAACAGAGATTGGAATTGAACCCAAGCCCAGGGCCAAGGTTAGTGCTAATGGGAATTTAAACAACTAGTTCTTGACCTAAATGTGCATCAAAATTCTGTGTGAGATGCTTTTGTTACAAGCCATTGGCATACCACAGGTTTTACATTCATTGCTGAAATTACACCCCCCCCCCCCAAAGTACTATGGTCACAATAGTACTTGTGCTGTTTACGTTTTTGCTGCGATTTTATGTGCGATTTTTCTCTTTTGATGGATGTGAATTAGTAATTAGTCACGAATGCTCCGATGTATAAGAGCTCTTACTTGAACATCAGTAACTAATTCACTCATTTACATCTATCAAAAAAAGAAAATCGCACATAAAATCGCAGCAAAAATTGCAAGAGTAAATTGGCCTTAAGGATAATGTGGCAACGTTCATCTAAACCTATTGCTCTGGCATGCACATACCTACATGCATGCATACATACAGCTATTTATAGATAGATGATCCATTTATAAGCTATAAATTCCATGCATGCATATAAAAAGAAAAAACTCTTAACCCGAATAGATTGCGGCGAAGGCTTTTGCAGACTTAGGCCTATAGTTGTTGATTTTGGAAGGCTTTATCTGGCTTAGTCTATGACTTTAAAACTTATTACAAGGTATTAAATTAATTAAAACGTGTATCGCTTATTTGTAAAATTGTTAATATCATCAATTATACCTCCCGCAATCTTTTTCATTCTATTTCGTACGTTGCTATACGACTGCCCTTTCAATAAATCTTTAAACTAGATAAAGGCTAAAAGCCATGAAAATAGCATACCAAATTAAGGAGGAATACCTTGTTATGAAAATTTATTGTTTTCACAAAAACAAAACAAAACAGAATCCACTTAAGGCAGAAAGGTATTATTTGCCATTGGCATTATGACTTTTTAATTTGTCTTTCTTATGTTTCCGTTTCCGCCCATATTACATAGATAACTTATTTAAGATTAAGTGCAATCGGTAACTTAATATATATTGAGAGTTGTGCCAAAATAAACTATCATGTTCAGGCAGTTCAGCTGATCTGCATGGTATCTGATGACACTTTTTTCTATATTTCTATTTCTAGCTGATTTGTATGATATTTTTATTTATACCTGCGTTTTATATATACTGTGACAATATCTATATTATAGAGAATGCAAGCAGACTTTGCTATAGGAAAATTGGTGTGCAACGTGTCGATTCCGGCGATAAATGAGACAGTTGAAAACATCTTTATGACATTAATAAATACTGGAATGGCATAATAACCTAAACAACACGATAACCATTTATATGTGTCACTCTGAGACAAACATTTATTGGTAAGCTTTGTAAAATATATCTATATCGTTTCTTCATTTGCTATTTCCCGAAGTCTTGGCCTTGGGTCCCGTCACATAAAACTCATTTTAGGCAACACAACTTGACTTGCAATAATAATAATAATAATAATTTAATAATAAAAATAAGAAATAATAATAATGGTGTAAAATAGAGATGCTGTTAACTGTAGTCTTTATTTTTTGATCGTGTAAGAAGTTGATACTGAAAATATAGATACTTGCATGCATGTATGCATGTAGTCATTCATCTATTTGATGCCTGTCCTGATACTTTTTGTCTACGTCTAGGGCCTCTAGGCTCATAAAACTTGTTTCATATGTAGTCTACCAAAAACATGAACAAAGTTCTTGACCGATTACAATTCCGGATTTGCACTTTTTTATCCGACTTTCTTCTTATAGGAACGAAAACTGTGGAATGCTCTGATGTTAAAATGCTCTAAATTTGGGGGTCTAGAGACGCTTTCTTTATGAGAAGTCTTTATCCACCCTTCACATATCTTATCAAAAGAAGAATCGCATGATAATCGCACCGAAAATAGGGCAAACGGGACTATAAATAACTAATTAGATATAGTTATTTTGATGACGTCAGAGCAGCCATGTTGGTGCACACTTCAAATTATTGTTGTTTATCAATCAGACTATAAAATTTATGGGATATTCTCTTTAAAATGGCACCAGCATGGCGGACATACGACGTCATGAAAACCATATATTGCAAATTAACAATTTAATTTAAGCTATCTTAAATTTCATGTGTGAAAATTTAAGTCATCTTTGATTGGCCGAAAAACCTTGCAAGTGATAAAACAGGCAGGAATCTGGATCGCAATATAAAAATTAGCAGCCAGCAAAACCTATGGCTATACGTAAAAGAGTCCTATACTATAATATAGAGACCATGTTATAAAAGTTTAATAAAATTTGATACAGTTAAAGATGTCTCACTTTGCTTTACGTATAAGCTTTTCTGCGCTTTATTTTTATATTAGGATTAGAAAACCATAAGTGTGTGCAAAACAAGAAACATACGCTGATTCTCTTGACTGTTTAAGTTTTGATGATCTACACTCTTGTTTGTTTAGTGTTCTGGGGCCGGTTGTATCAAGCCCCGGTTTAGCTTAAACGGTGGATAAGTTCAAAATCGAAAACAAGAAATCAATTTAATTCACTTAATTCTTTAAGCCATGAATATCAACTTCGTGTTAGCCTCATTCAATCAGTTCAAAGGTACTCGAAACTCGGAAGCAAACTGGCCGCTATAAACGCCCTTCAAATTGCTGAGATTTGTATCAAATGCCCCTCCTAATAAACGCCTCCTGAGAAGATAAACCGACATGATCAAAATTTCATGTTTACACGTTTTATCGCATTTTCATGCATTAGCTTTTAAAGATATAAGGCCTTTTATAGGGAATAGTAATTTCAAATAACATCAGCGCAATCATGTTTTTACCGAAATACCAGTGATGTGGTTAAAATGAATCTTTTTTCAGTCGAATTTGCTTATGCGTGAACATTTGTTTGAGTTTTTTTATAGGCTAGTATTTCAGTTCCTAGTAATCGTCCCACTTAATCCACAGGAATTTTAAATATACGTGAGAATAAAAAAGCTGTAATGAACAAATGCATCATCCAACCCACCATGAATATATCGAACATCTTGCTAATTAGGCGAAGCATAGTCCATGCATTAAGTATGTGCTAAACCGCAAAGGAGGGATATGAAGTTTAAGTTTCGCCAAGCAAATAGACTTTGGGTAATGCGGGGAAGATGTTCTTGACATTTTTTATTTATCACGATCGTTTTGAGATAAGGATACGAAGTGAGGCGAGTGTTCTAGCAAAAATTCCACTCTACTGTTTATCTTTATCCGCAAACGTGAGGCAAAAGATTAAATTGTACTCGTAATGACGGCTGCACGAACAGGTCTGTCGCAGAGACAACTCTCGGTTCCTCGGTTTAATCTCGTGTCATTGCATGCTAAACTGCGAAGAGCAGAAAAAGTGATTATTTTACTGGCGCCTGCTAAACTTTTCGGATGTTGCATTGCTTTCTCTCTGTGAGATATTCACCGAAAAGCATTACATGCAAATTTGCAGCTATTATACTGTTGGATATATTTTCAGTAGCAAAAAAACACAACTACAGTCATACCGTTCAGTTTTCTTGCATGCATGCTTTCTCTTTGACTTTGGAATTACTCGTTTAATTAAACTGATACACGACAAGTGTAATCTCAAAAGCACTAATTTCTTATCTCGCCATGAGAATATCTTTATATCAGCCATCGTAGAATCTCTTTGTTGATAAGATCACACGGGCAGTGACACTCAGTGTCCCAATTCTTGCGGATAGACTAAAAAAATTCTATTTGCATTTTCATAAGCCGAAAGTCTGTTTAGGTTTATATTATAGCGATGTACATACATATATATATATATATATATTCCTCCTACTATCTTTTTCTAGCGCACTTCTGACGATTATAAGGCAAAGTTGCAATTTAACCTTAATAATCCCAAGTCTTATCCCCAATTAAACTCATTGCTCTTTAGCATAAACAAGCAACTCATCCGGTTCCTCTTTATATACAGCGCACCCGCAAAGTCTCCGCAGAGGAGAGTGATAAATTTCAGATCCACAATTAGCGTCTTTAATGTGTTATAAGCATCTATAACATTGCGTCTATAACATTAACTACATTGTTGTGATGATAAGTATATATAATACTGTTTACATCCAGGGGGAAAACTCTAAGAGTGGGGATGATCATGAGTTAGCTCTATTTGCTCCGGAAAACGTCG